TGTCATGAAACAAGATTTCATTTCATTTTGTTTTAAAAATGACAATGAATACCTGCGTGTGAAATCTATTGTTTACTTTTATCTGTGTACATGTAAATTATACCATCTGTGCAAAGGTATATAATACACATAATACATTATACCTGTAGGTACGATATTAATGTACAATTTAAGTAGGAATATATTCTTGTTTAATGGTCGTATAATCAATTGAAGTTTGGTATTACAGTCAATAAATTATAGATCAATTTAGAATATAATTTATACAGGATTGTATTGCTTAGGCTTGAACAATGAATGTTTTAAAAATGAATGAAATTCAATTGACATTTTGGGTATTATGCAGTTTGGTAGCTCTGTTTCATGTAGCCAACTATTATTATCTTCAAAAAAATGAAGTGTTTAAACAAAATCTTCTTTTACTATCACAGGTGAGTTGTTCCTGAACTCATGCATGAAATGATAAAAATGTTTTATTAACTGGCATTGGCTCAACATTTCCAATTAAATAGTTGCAGGTACATTTATGGTATATAGATAATTATGGGTGTATTAATTTAATTGACTAAACAGAGTGGAAACCACTGAAAGCTTGGTGACCTGTTTAGATTGCTGCTTTAGATAGACCAGTGTTTAACTTTATGACAAACATGACAATTTTAATTTCCCAAACTTAAACTTTCCATTCCGCCATGTTAATGTTGCTGTTTTTAAAAAGAATCTTAACTGAACTTTTTAAATGTGCTTTTAAGCTGTGAACTTGTTGGCATTTTAATTTTGTTAATGTTTTAAAACTAATGTTTCACCCTATATATATTTTAATGTATTTTAATTGTAAAGAGTGTCCTGGAGCAGCTTATTAGCTGGAACACTCAGCACTATACAAATTGATGATTATTACATGTATTGTCTGTTTATTTGTCCACTCATTTCGTTATGGTAGGTTTTACATATTCTATGTGGACTGTCTAAGAAAGACTAGAGTCTGTTATTGCTAGTTAGATTTGGATTGTCAGTTGTGATTGATGGCCTGCTACATTTTATTTTTATACACCCACATTTTCATGTGGTTGTATTATGCCGTCGCCCCTGTCCGTCCGGCACAGATGTCGGACCACAGGCACTTGAAGGGATTAAAATAAAACTTCTTACTACTGTTAGGGTGACCCACCATAAATAAATATCTCCAAATATCTCGACAATTACACCACAATATTTATATATACCAAGCCTTAAATCAATTTCGCACCTTTATAGTCACTAAATAAACGGTCATTTAACCATCCATAAATAATACACTTAAAGATGGTTACGAGTGTCGGCCATAACATCCGGATACGTGCCCTTGTTTTGAAATTAGTCTCGCTTAACCATTCTACCGACAATACTATGTCTGATTGACAGGCTGGGATAATCAAGACTACTTTTTTACAAAACATAACAGAAAGCTGGAACAAGAAATTGAATTTAGAAACACGCACGTTAGGCAACTCAACAATTGTTCTAAGAACCTTGTAAAAGTAAAATGACACTACTGCTAGTATCATGTTCTTACCTAACGAAAGTGTTTCAGAGATATTATTTGTACTAAACCAAAACATGCCGCTTTTAACGGTACAGTTAATGATAAAGCAATTTAAAAAATAAAACGAACGTAATTTCTAAAGCTTTCTGTAGAGAACATTTTCAGTGCATGGGTCACCCTACTACTGTTTGACTCACTATTACTAATAACACAATATCATAATCACCCACCATATTGTTTTGAATTGTTGAAGATATTTCGTCTGCTATCATCTCAGAATACTCACTAGTTCTAACACTTTCCGTCAATTTTATTGCCAACGAGACTTTATTTGATCATTATACACCTTCCAATGTAAATAAATTGGTCATTTTACAGCGTTATTAATTACAAATCAAATTTGAAGCGTTATCACTTGGCTATTCGTATCTTCGACGGACCGGAAGTAAGAAGAAATGAGGTCAACGACGTCATGTTGGGGAAACCCTGATTTTTGATTGGTTGAGGCGTGTTACTAAAACTAAAATTGATCTTCATATACTGGTCGCGAATTAAGAATCCCAGAATGACAGCTGAATATTCTCATTGGTAGGTAACATACTTAGGAAAATACATACTTAGGAAAATTTAATTGATCAAAAGTAAATGAAATGAAATGCATTTTAATGTCTTACTGTTCTGCTTCGAACTGTCAAGGGATCTTTTACGTGCACACCTATGTGTACATGGGACCTCAATTTTTTGTCCTATCCAAACGACTAGACAGCTGTCCTTGTCAGGCTCTCCATCCTGCATCACAGCCAATGCAGGGATCGAACACCCGACCTCCAAGCTAGCGAGCCAGCGTCTTACCCATTTAGCCACCGTGACCCTCTGATCAAAAATAAAATGGCTTTATAAAGGTGATATCTATACTTAAACAATTTTATTTCTGCAATTTGCATAGACTTAAAAGTGTGTATGTAGGGAGGGGGGGATGAAGTGCCCAAAATAAAGAAATAAACCGGACAGCTCAGGTTTTGGTCGATATCTTCGGTAATAGATTTTTCGAGCATTGATCATTATTTGTTTCATCAATCTTTCAGAAACCGTTATTTTTTTAAATTGACTAATAAATTTAAAATATTTAAAATCAGTGTGAAAAATGTTGTCTAGTGCTACTCTATAACTTCAAAAGCCTGACATTTTTCACCCGACAAACACGTTGTGGACACTCTATACAGGTCACAATTTTTATCTGATTTTAACGAAACTTGAAATATAGATCTATCTCCCAAAGCTCTTGGTTCCTTTTGATATTGGCATGTATCGGACCATAACTTCATGGATTATGTCCCCTGATTGTATGAAAATTCACGTTTTTAGCTTGTGGTCCCTCTAGAGGTCACAATTATTATCCGATTTAAAAAAAAACGTTTGAATATATCACTGTTTTACCCTCATGATGGTTAAATTTGATTTTCATGGAAATCGGACCAAAACTGCCGGACAAAATGGCCGCCCCTCGTACGGAATGGTATATCAAGGTTGTGGACCCTCTAGAGGTCACAATGTTGATCCGATTTTGATGAAACTTGAAATACACGTTAACAACCCAAAGATCTTGTTTCCTTTCGATATTCGCACATATCGGATCATAACTTCCCGAATAATAGGCCTCGATTATACGAAAAATCACGTTTTTGGCTTGTGATGCCTCTAAAGGTAACAAGTTTTATCCGATTTAAAAAAATGTTAGAATATATCATCGTTACACCTTAATGATGGTTGAGTGAGAATTTAGTGAAAATCAGAGCAAAACTGCTGGACAAAATGGCCACCCATTGTATGAAAATATGGTATATCAAGGTTGTGGACACCGTAGAGGCCACAATTTTTGATGAAACTTAGAATATATCTTTATATCCCAAAGATCTCAGTCCCTTTCGATATTTGTGCATTTCAGACCCTAAGTTCTTGGATTATGGCCCCTGGTTGTACGGAAAATCACTTTTTTTTTTTTAGCTTGTTTTCTTGCAAAATGTGGGCGTATCTTGCCTGGCAACCGCTGGTACTGGTATATTGAACAAATGACTAAATTTTGATGCAGTTTGTCTTTAGTTGTAATACTTGTATAGTATTCTATTACGTAATCAGGCAGGGCACCTTAACTTAATGATTAATGGCATTTGTCCCCAGTATCTTTAACAGGTACAATTTTGAAATTTTTGCTTTTTCAGACTTTTGGTTGTGAAAGTCCCAATATTAGTGTACTACTATCTATTCTTACTGCAAAACTTAATCGCGTTGGTTACACTACTATGCTTGAGTTGAATTTAAAATTTAGATAAAAACAGTAAAAGTGATAGCAGATTTTTATTTTGAAAAAAATTGTCTCAACTTACTTCGTATCATTTTTATACGCCCACATTGGAACTACTTTCAAGTGCCCTGATTGAAAATGGCGGAGCCCATGAAGATGCCTGTGAACAGTGTTTTATCTCAAGAAACTGTATACATCGTACAAAGCTTTCAATGTCTCTGAAGCTTTTTTTATTTCAAGTTTATACAATTTTCTTTAAACAAAGGACAACTTGCAATGAAAACTCCACCCACGAACACTTCGAACGATGCCATTTTAAGAACTTCTTTCTAAAAGTGGAGTTTGCCAAAGTCATAATTTTTATCCGATTTTGATGAAACTTAAAATATATGTTTATATCCCAAAGATCTTGGTTCCTTTAGATATTAGTGCATATCGGACGCTAACTTCCAGGATTACGGCCCCTTATCCAGTTTCTAGCTAGTGGACCCTCAAGAGGTCCCAATTTTTAGCTGATTTTAAAAACCGTTTAAATATATCACTGTTACACCATGAGCACAGTTGAGTTCAAATTTTTATCTGATTTTGATGAAACTTAAAATACATCTATCCCAAAGATCTGGGTTTGTTTTGATACTTGTGCATAATGAATCCTAACTTCTTGGATTATGGCCCCTGATTGTATGAAAAATCACTTTTTTTTTTAGCTTGTTCTCTTGTCCATCTCTTGCAAAATATGGGCATATTTTTTCATTGCAACCGCTTGTTAAATTGGGAATCATGGAAATGTAGGCCTACTAATGTAGCATTTGGAAATTTTTTTTTATATTTCAGGGCAAATCACTAAACAATTAACAATCTATTGGAATCGCTTGAGGAAATGTATTTTTTCCTGTATAGAGTTTGCTCGATAGAAATTAGATATGAATGCTTTTTTAAAACTATTCATATTTAACTTCTATCGAGCAAAATCTATGAAGGGAAGTTTGTAGGAAGGGTCATGACAATTTTAGAACCCTTCCTACAAACTCAATTAGTTCCACAATCCGTCCACCATGTTGAGCCATGTATGCACAGAAAGACAGGAATGTTATGATATTTTTTTATTTCTAATATTTATTCTATAGTTCAAATACTATAATTGATTCATTGTAAAAATTATTTTTATTGCAGCATGAACTAGATAATATTGAAGGAAAAATTCAAAGAATAGAAGAAGATTTAATGAAAAATCATGAAACGATTAAAGAAATAAAAGACACTGTTAGGAAAATAGGAAAAGGAGGTGCCGTTAGCCTTGATCAGTTAAAAGATGTTTTGGATAGACATAAAGATAGTGATTATGGTGGTAATGTAGGGGGTAAAGTGGGTGTGGTCAAGATGAATCAGATTAAATTTCAAGAAAGAAAGGATAAGACAGTTGTTAAAGATTTGACTATACCTACTGATATGTGTTTACTAGCTGATGCTCCAGAAGCGAAAACAGACTATAAAGTAAGATAAATTTCATTTAGGAGGTTGCTCAAAATCTTAAAATTAGCCGCACATAAAACCATATAGCATATAGGTCTGCTAGTGCTAAGTTTCATGCTTTTAAATTTAATGCAAACCTCAAAAATTTCAGCTCATACATGTATGATTTTTTTAAAATTTGGTTTGAATAAGTAGTTCATTCTTCAAGTGTAAATTTGGCAGCTGAAATTACTTTTAAAAACAATATTTTCATTCTAATATTTCTATTATTTAACAATTTTTTTTATAGTTGACTGATGTGTTTGAAAAGAATTCTTTTACTGATGTTGATGGGGGTGTATGGAAACAGGGCTGGCCTATAACATATGATAACTCCCAGTGGAGTAAACGTAGCCTTAAAGTTTTTGTTATACCTCACTCACACACAGATCCTGGTATGTATAGTATAATCGATATTTGTATCCTCTTGTATTGTTTTTTATACGCCCGCATTTTCATGTGGATGTATTATGCCGTCGCCCCTGTTTGTCCGTCCGTCCGTCCAGAATTTGTTTGTGGAAACTCTACAGGTAACAATTTTTATCCGATTTCAACGAAACTAGAAATATAGGTTTATCTCCCTAAGATCTTGGTTCCTTTTGATATTGGCTATCGGACAGTAACTTCATGGATTATGGCCCCTGATTGTATGAAAAATCACGTTTTTAGCTTGTGGACGCTCTAGAGGTCACAATTTTGATCCGATTTTGATGAAACTTGAAATGCATGTTTATAACCCAAAGATATTGGTTCCTTTCGATATTCGCGCATATCAGATCGTAACTTCCTAGATTATGGCCCCTGATTGGTCGAAAAATCGCATTTTTAGCTTGTGGATTCTCTTTAGGTCACAATTTTTTTTCAGATTTTAAAAACCGTTTAGATCACCATTCCACCATAATGAAGGTTGAATTGGAATTTTTGAAAAATCGAAATAAAACTGCCCGACAAAATGGCTGCTCTTTGTATGCAAATTTTATATAAGTATATAATTCAATGGTTATGGACCCTCTAGAGGTCACAATTTTTATCCAATTTTGATCTCAGTCCCTTTTGATAATTGTGCATTTCAGACTATAACTTTCTGGATTATGGCCCCTGATTGTACAAAAAATAGTTTTTGTTTTTAGCTTGTTCTCTATCCATCTTTTGCAAAATGTGGGCATATCCTGCCTGGCAGCTGCTGGTTGTATGTAATTTGCAGATCTGGATTCTCAGCTAAAATGGAAAGTGACAATTCTTTACCTATTCTTCTAGTGATTCTAGTTAGTTAAAATTAAATTTATCTAATTTTGAGGGCTACGGTGGCTAAGTGAGTAGTATGTTGGCCCTCTAACCTGAAAGTTCAATCCCTGTGTTGACAAAGAAAATTCATCAGGATCTTCCGGCGTGGTTCCCCATTTTTATATGCCCACATGGAAATGTGGACGTATATTGCCGTCGCCCCTGTCCGTCCGTCTATCTTTGGGTCCGTCTGTCCGTCGTCCACAATTTCTTGTGAACGCTCTAACACCAAAAGTTATCATCTGATTGTTTTAAGATTGATATACGTTGTTGACATTAGTGAGATGAAGAATCCTATTTAATTTCAATAATTTCTGTTTATTATGTCTGGAGTTATGGCCCTTGTTTGGACCTTGTGAACGCTCTTAACGCCAAAAGTTATCATCCGATCTTGGTGAAATTCATATGCATTATTTAAATTAGCCTATTGAATTTCAGCAATTTCCTTTTATTACGTCTAGAGTTATGGCCCTTGTTTCACTTTGTTGGACATTGTGAACTCTCTAACGCCAAAAGTTATCATCCGATCTTTGTGAAGTTTATGTGTGTTAATAGTCGATTCTTTTGGTATGGTGGTCAAAACTTGTGGAGAGGTATCAAAATTCATAATACAAAAAGATTTTTGACCCCCGACCTCCCTGATCCCCATGTACATACCCCCTGAAAATGGGGTTCCTCCAAATTAGCCAAAATATCAGTTTTTTGTCATTTTACCACACACAAGTTTGTTTAGAATGTCTTTGACAGATAGGTTTTCTTGGTCTGTAAATCTGTATATGACATAACAAATGACCCCCAATAATTCAATATGGTAGAAATCTAATATGCGGCCAAAATGGCGCCAAAATGGAAGTAAATTGCTGTTCGGTAAAACATAGTCTTGTAATATATCAAAAACTATGTTTTCGAGTGCCTAAATGCCGAATTTGTTGTTGAAATAGGGCTAATTCCATCATGGAAATGTTTATATCTATATGATGTGTTCCATATTTACTAATCGTGATGATTATGTGATTATATACATTTTACTTGCTACAACAACGTTTACCTCTCTGAATTTCCCTATATGAATGTCTGTTAATATATGTTAGTAAATTATCCGTAAACACACATTTCTTGGCTAATAACACAATTTAATCCCTGATTCCAGACTCATCACTGTCCCTGAACAGTGAGTGCTCCTAAAGTATCCACGAGATATTCCTCAAGGAGAATTTTGGGCTTAAAAACATACACTGAAAAAGCGGACTTTCAGAATGGACTACTACCAACCAAATGGGATATCATTGAAAATATGATGTATTTGTTAAGACCAGACCGTGCTGGAAAAAATTTTAGAACCAAAGACCAGACAGCCTCCATATTGAGTGATGTTTTAATGGAGCACTAGATTTTTTGCAATATATATACAATTGCTCGGAAAAATATTAAGTCAAAAATCCTAGACCTGTATGCTACATTTATAAATAAGCATCAGACACGCAAACATCGCAGAAATCAGAAATACTGTGAGTCGGTAGAGCAATTTAATGAGGACTGTTCAACACTGTTTGATATCTACTGTGAATACGCTGAAACCCGTAAAAGACTAGAAAGGTTTCATGGAGTAAAAATGATGGAAACAGAAATAAGTTTCCTCGACACATTTGTTGATACGAAATGGGCTAAAACTATGGAGAGACGGAGACAGGATATGCAAACTATTGATAGATCGCGCCAGGCTGCTGCATTGGATGCATTACGCATGGAGGAGACAGTTGAAATGAGTGGCTCGTCTGAGCCGTCAGCTGAAGATATCCAAAGTGAATATGAGGCAAACAAATCCGATGAGGACGTTACCCGTAGACGGAAGAAGAAACGTAAGCTGAACTTTGGTCCTGGAGTGTCAGGTGAACATGATGAATTACCAACGCGGTATTGACACATACATTTAAGTGAGCTTAAAGTTCAGCCAGAAATTTATGAGGCAATGGACACGTTGAAAAGTGTTCACCACATGTCTGAAAATCAGGCAGCAGCTGCAGTTGTAACCATTGCTAATAAAGTTTTCGGTAGAAATTGGAAACTACATGACAAGTCTCCGAATGAGATAGACTCTGATACGTTGCCTGATAAGCGAAACGTAAAACAAGCTGGACGAAGTATAGAAGCTCTTGCTTTGCATGAAATATATAGTAAAGGTGGTGATGAACAGCGATGAAAAATCAGTAGTTACCTACGCAGACGATGGATTAAAAAAGCAAGGTGCTGGGTCTTTCTCAGTCCAGGGTGTTAAAATAAATGGGGTAATACGACCATTACCAACACTGCCGATTGCATCTGAGACCTGTGAAAACCTTGCAGAACTGAAAATTGCTGTATTGAATGTGCTATCAGCTGCAAGTGGAGTCAGTACAAAAGATCCATTTGAAGAACTTGGTTTTGTCTTAACTGATCAGACTTCGCACAATTTAGAAGTAGAAAAACTAGTAGCTAAAAGACTAGAGACTGAACACATCCCTAAACACCTATTTTGCAACGTACATCCATCATTGATGTTCAATAGAGCGATTACTAGTTTATGGGCAGATATAGAGAACGCCCTGGGGACTGAACAAGCATTGGATTGTATTACAAGGATCGTTAACATGACTTTGATCACAAGCCATGGAACAAGGCCGTAGATTTTGATCTTTTCATTTCGCCCAAAAAGAATCTCTCGGTCAGCTTAAAAGATGAGAGATTTAATCGCCTGACTCTCACGTGTGCCGTTGTCGTTTATCAATTGGACGACGTCAATCAATTTCTACAAAAATTCAAGCAAGTAACAAATCAACTTGCTTGTATTGTGAGAAAGTTCTCTATGTCGCTGGAGCGCTGATTGGGTTACATCCCGTAGAGCCATTTTTTATCCATCATTACCTCAAAATCAACAAAGTACTCGAAACTAACAGAAGTTTTCCAAACTCTGGATAAAAACCTCCATGAAACTGATGCTAAGGAAATTCTCAATGTCAAGCAGCCTGCATTTCTCAGGAACGTTTCGATCAAACAAAGTACAGCCAAGATATATGCGACTCGCTTAGCAAAGCAATTGATATTTAAAGGCACACACTCAGAGGTGATCAAGGTCCTCACTATGCTACTACATGTACCTAAACTAGCTGCCGGATTTCAATACCAGAAGGTTGAGATATTTGGATTTGGGTCTTGTAGCGGGGAATCGGATATTGCTCTGTCAGGAATGGATTCAGAAAAACTAGAAGGTGCCCCAATACACAATCTAGATTCGGAAAGGGCAGTGGGTTTCATAAACTATGAGCTCAAGCAACGAGGTGCTAAAAATCTGAAATGTGCATCCACTGTGCAAGTGAAAGCCAAATCCCAGGACTTGATCGAATCGCAATCTGGGAATATAAAATCGCCAAGTATGAAGTTTCTGCTGTAATGAAAGCATGGGACGAGAAACAGAAGCTTTTGCTGCAACAGGGTCTACCTGTCATGAAAATAGCAAAGTTAGCCCTTGACAAAAGGCGAAACAATGATTTTATTGAACTGAAAAAACTGTGTGGTCCTTTCACAAAGGAATCAGATGTTGATGAACTTTTGAAAAGTGATACGACAGAGGTGGACAAGCAAACGCGTCTTTAATTCGAAGTAAGATATGCTCAAGATACAGCCTTATCTTTACCTAAACAAAGTGACATTTTCCGTGACATATTACAACACTATGTTTGTTCAAAAAGCAAAAAATACACATTTATGGCGCAATTTTGGCTGCCATATTGGATTTCTCCCATATTGCATTGACGTAGGTCATTTTCAATTTCAACCGACAACACTGCAAGTAAAGACCGTGGCACTGCAAGAGGAGTGGGTCAGATTACCCCAAATCGGGATTAGACGGTTGATTAGGATCATGCCACGACGAATTGCTGAATGTCAGAGGATTGGTGGAGCAATTACTCATTATTAAGACAAAAATAAAAAATGTCCATTATCACTTTTGACAGTGTATCTCTTTGCGAGTGAAATGGGGCCGTCAGTTGAACTGTTTATGTTCATGTGTAGGCAATTGGCCTGTTATTAACATACGTTACCTCTAATAAAAACAGCAGTGCATTTCCGCAGTTTTGTATTGTTTCTGAATATCCCCTACGGCTTTGCTCCCAGAATATTTGTTGAATAACACACACCCCTATTTATATGCATTATTTAAATTAGTGAAACGAAGAAGCCTATTGAATTTCAGCAATTTCCAGTTATTACGTCTAGAGATATGGCACTTGTTTCACTTTGTTGCACCTTATGAATGCTATAACATCAAAAGTTATCTGCCAATATGTATGAAATTTATATGCGTCATTTAGATTAGTGAAACCTCAAAGCCTATTGAATTGCAGCAATTTAGAATAAGTACTTCTAGAGTTATGGCCCTTGTTTCACTTTGTTCAACCTTGTTAATGCTCGATTGATGAAAGTTATCATCCGATATGAAATTTATATGCATCATTTAAATTTGTGAAACAGAGGTCTGTTGAATTTCAGCAATTTCCGTCAATTATTTCTAGTGTTATGGCCCTTGTTTTACTTTGTGAACCTTGTGAACGTTCGAATGGCAAATGTTATCATCCGATCTGTATGAAATTTATATGCATTATTTAAATTAGTGAAACAAAAAAGCCTGTCAAATTTCAAAATTTTCTGTAAATTACTTCCAGAGTTAAGGCCCTTGTTTCAGTTTGTAGAACCTTGTGAACCCTCAAATGACAAAAGTTATAATCTGATCTGTATGAAATTGTCTTGTAAATGCTCCCAATTACCTACAAAAGAATAAATATGCGTCAACCCTTGTCGACCGCACAGATGATTTAGCTGCTGTGGGCGTATGTTTCGTTGCCTGGCAAACTCTCTTTAGTTGTGTGGGACGGATTGTCTGACAAGGGACAATGTATAGTTGTTCAGATGGGATGAAAAGCTGAGGTCCTGTGTACACATTGACATGCACGTAAAATAACCCTTGACAGTTTGATTTTGAAATAAGAGTAAGCCGTAGCCCCACTGTCCGGGCAAAATTTCCTTCACAGCACACTACCTGGCGTATGCCCGTCTTCATTAGCCCAGTAGGAGCAGAACATTAGGACATTAAACCACATTTTTTTACTAATTGTTTTATACTCAGTTTACTCATTTTTATACGCCCACATAGAAATGTGGACGTATATTGCCGTCGCCCCCGTCCATATGTACGTCCGTCCGTCCATCCGTCTTTCATCCACAATTTATTGTGAACGCCAAAAGTTATAATCCAATTGTTTTAAAATTGATATATGTTGTTTACATTAGTGAGATGAAGAAGTCTATTTAATTTCAATAATTTCCATTTATAACGTCTAGAGTTATGGCCTTTGTTTCACTTTGTTGAACCTTGTGAACGCTCTAATGCCAAAAGTTAACATCCAATCTTTGTGAAATTTATATGCAATATTTAAATTAGGGAAACGAAGAAGCTTATTGAATTTCAGCAATTTCCGTTTATTACTTCTAGAGTTATGGCCCTTGTTTCACTTTGTTTCGCCTTGTGAACACTCTAACCCCAAAAGTTATCATCCTATCTTTCTGAAATTTATATGCATTATTTGAATTAGTGAAACGAAGAAGCCTATTTAACTTCAATAATTTCAGTTTATTACTTTTAGAGTTATGGCCCTTGTTGGACTTTGTTTAACCTTGTGAACGCTCTAACCCCAAAAATTATCATCCTATCTTTCTGAAATTTATATGCATTATTTAAATTAGTGAAACGAAGAAGCCTATTGAATTTCAGCAATTTCCGTTTATTACTTCTAGAGTTATTTCACTTGTTTCACTTTGTTTAACCTTGTGAACACTCTAACCCCCAAAGTTATCATCCTATCTTTCTGAAATTTATATGCATTATTTAAATAAGTGAAACGAAGAAGCCTATTGAATTTCAGCAATTTCCGTTTATTACTTCTAGAGTTATTTCACTTGTTTCACTTTGTTTAACCTAGTGAACACTCTAACCCCAAAAGTTATCCTATCTTTCTGAAATTTATATGCATTATTTGAATTAATGAAACGAAGAAGCCTATTTAATTTCAATAATTTCCGTTTATTACTTTTAGAGTTATGGCCCTTGTTGCACTTTGTTTAACCTTGTGAACGCTCTAACCCCCAAAATTATCATCCTATCTTTCTGAAATTTATATGCATTATTTAAATTAGTGAAACGAAGAAGCCTATTGAATTGCAGCAATTTCTGTGTGTTACGTCTAGAGTTATGGCCCTTGATTCACTTTATTGAACCTTGTGAACGCTCTAACACCAAAAGTTATCATCCGATCTTTCTGAAATTTATATGCATTATTTAAATAAGTGAAACGAAGAAGCTTATTGAATTTCAGCAATTTCTGTTTGTTATGTCTAGAGTTATGGCCCTTGTTTCACTTTATTGAACTTTGTGAATGCTCTAACATCAAAAGTTATCTGCCGATCTGTATGAAATTTACATGTGTCGTTTAAATTAGTAAAGAGAAGAATCCTATTAAATTTCAGCAATTTCCGTTTATTACTTCTAGAATTATTGCCCTTGTTTAACTATGTTCAACCTTGTTAATGCTCGATTGATGAAAGTTATCATTTCAACAATTTCTGTAGATTACTTCCAGAGTTGAGACCCTTGTTTCAATTTGAAGAACCTTGTGAACCTTCAAACGGCAAAAATTATAATCTGATCTATATGGAACTGTCTTGTAAAGGCCCCCAATTACCTACAAAGGAATAAATATGCGACAACCCTTGTTGACCGCTTGGACGATTTAGTCACTGTGGGCGTATGTTTCGTTGCCTGGCAACCTATCTTTTTATACTTTTTATAACAGGCTGGCTGAAAACATTTATGGAATATTATAGACAACAAACAAAACTGATATTTGAGAACATGATTCCCAAATTAGAAGAGGATGGTCGAAGAAAGTTCATGTATGCTGAAATGTCTTTCTTTTCATTATGGTGGGATGAAATTGATATAGGAAAGAAAGAAAGAGTTAAAAAGTGAGTTTGTGTATCATTTTGAATTATAATGCTTTTTTTAAAAATTGCTGTAAAACAAGAAAGTAATTTAACGAGAAATTTATTCATAAAATGTGACCTTTGACCAGTCGCATTAATTGTCCCCAGCCTTTCGAAAAAAGCAGTGAACTATTAAAATGAGTTTGTCCGTCTGTCCGTCTGTCTGCTGTCTGTCTGCTGTCTGTCTGTCACACTTTTTGGGACACAATAACTCTCCTTCTAATTGACCTAGAATGTTCAAACTTGGTGTAGGTGTTTATTAGGTCAATGCCTTGATGGAGTTCGAAGATGAGCATTTTCTGCTTAGGGTAAGCAGAGATAAGCAATTTGATTGGTTGAGGCTTTGGGACACGATAACTTTAGTTTTAATTAAGTGTGATTGATGAAACTTGGTGTATAGTTTCATTACATCAATACCTTGACTAAGTTTGATATTGAGCATTTTCTGTTCAGGGTAAGCAGAGCGATAAGCAATTTGATTGGCCGAGACTTTGGAACACAATAACTCTCCTTCTAATTGAGCTAGAATGTTCAAACTTGGTGTAGGTGTTTATGAGGTCAATGCCTTGATAGAGTGTGATGATGAGCATTTTCTGCTTATGGTAAGTAGAGATAAGCAATTTGATTGGTTGATGCTTTGGGACACGATAACTTTAGTTCTAATTAAGTGAGAGTGATGAAACTTGGTGTATAGTTTCATTACATCAATACCTTGACTAAGTTCGATGATGAGAATTGTCTGCTTATGCTAAAGAGCAATAAGCATTTTGAGGTAGAATGTTTAAACTTGGGACAAGATAATCTCGATTCTATCTGATAGAGAGTGACGAAACTTAGTGTGTAGTTTGATTGCTCGATACTTTTGAAAAAAAATAAATGTGCGATTAATTAATATGTGTCATCTATTTATTTTGGGATTCCGGCGGGGGACATCAATCTAACTGTTGGCTTGTTATAATTATAGACTGATAGAAAATGGTCAGTTGGAGATAGTAACTGGTGGTTGGGTTATGACAGATGAAGCTAATGCTCATTATTTTGCCATGATTGATCAACTGCTTGAGGGCCATCAATGGCTTGATGGGACACTTGGTAAGATGTCACACAATTTATCGTCAGTGGAGAGTCAAAAGGTTATATATCTGGCATATTTTGCGTAATTCACTTTTTTGCTTCTTCAGAATGAGAATTTTCTTGCACATGCGTTCATCTAGTTGTCATATTTCTAAGCCAATAAAAAGAGGTTTTATGGATATTGTTTCTAAATGTTGTATACAGGGTGTTACAAAAAAATAGAAATTTATTATTAAGAACAAAAATGTCAAATTTCCTTGAAAAAATCAACTTTGTGTCTCACGGAATATAGCAAGTTATTTACATATTATTGAAATTATTGTTAAACCTCTACTGTGTGAAATCTATGAAATTGAAGCAGGTAAAGGTTAATTTGTTCACAAGATACACCTTTTACTTTTAGTGCTGGGTATTGCCACTGCAGTCATGATAAGATATGTATTGCAATTCAGGTGCTACGATATGATTCATATCACAATTCATAATCCAGTCAATATTTACCATGAAAACTACGGGATAAATGAGTAATTGATGTTTTTATACGCCCACATTTTCATGTGGACGTATTATGCCGTCGCCCCTGTCCGTCCGGACGTCCGGATGTCCGTCCGTCCTGAATTTGTTTGTGGACACTCTACAGGTCACAATTCTTATCCGATTTTGACGAAACTTGAAATATAGGTTTATCTCCAAAAGATCTTGGTTCCTTTCGATATTGGCATGTATCGGATCGAAACTTCATGGATTATGGCCCCTGTTTGTACGAAAAATCACATTTTTAGCTTGTGGACACTATAGAGGTCACAATTTTTATCCGATTTTGTTGAAACTTGAAATCTGAGTTGATAATCCAAAGATCTCGGTTCCTTTCGATATTCGCGCATATTGGACCGTAACTTCCTGAATTATGGCCCCTGATTGTACCAAAAATCGTGTTTTTAGCTTGTGGACCCTATAGAGTTCATAATTTTTATCCGATTTAAAAAAGCGTTCAATTATATCACAGTTACACCCTAAGGATGGCTGAGTTTGAATTTCGTGAAAATCGGCCCAAAATTGACAGACAAAATGGCCGCCGTTCGTTCTCAAATAGCGTAAAAATATGGTATATCAAGGTTGTGGACACTATAGAGGTCACAATTTTTATCCGATTTTGTTGAAACTTGAAATGTAAGTTTATAACCCAAAGATCTCGGTTCCTTTCGATATTCACGCGTATCGAATTGTAATTTCCTGAATTATGGCCCTTGATTGTAGGAAATATCACTTTCTTGTTAGCTTGTTCTCTATCCATCTCTCGAAAATGTGGGCGTATCCTGCCTGGCAGCCGCTGGTTAGTCCTGCTGTTGTCGTAGAAATAAAACTATTTGTATACGCCCACATTTTCATGTGGACATATATTGTCGTCGCCCTTGTCCGTCCATCCACAATTGTTTGTGGACACTCTACAGGTCACAATTTTTATACAATTTCAACGAAACTTGAAATATAGGTTTATCTTCCTAAGATCTCGGTTCCTTTTGATGTTGGCATGTATCGGACTGTAACTTCATGGATTATGGCCCCTGATGGTACGAATAATCGCGTTTTTAGCTTGTGGACCCTATAGAGGTCACAAATTTTATCTGATTTTGTTGAAATTTGAAATGTAAGTTTATAACCCAAAGATCTTGGTTCTTTTCGATATTCGCAGATATCGGATCGTAACTTCATGAATTATGGTCCCTGATTGTACAAAAAATTGTGTTTTTAGCTTGTGGTCCCTTTAGAGGTCAGAATTATTATCCGATTTAAATAAACGTTTTAATATATCACCGTTACACCGTGATTTTGTCTGCGTATGAATTTCATGAAAATCGGACCAAAACTGCCGAACAAAATGGGCGCCCCCCGTACGCAAATAGTGTAAACATCTAGTAAATCAAGGTTGTGGACCCTCCGATTTCGATGAAACTTGAAATTCATGTTTATAACCCAAAGATATTAGTTCTTTTCGATATTCGTGCATATCGGATCATAACTTCCTGAATTATGGCCCTTGATTGGACAAAAAATCAAGTTTTTAGCTTGTGGTCCCTGTAGAGGTCACAATTTTTATACGCCCACATTGAAATGTGGTCGTATATTGTCGTGGCCCCCGTCCGTCCGTCCGGCGTCCACAATTGCTTGTGGACGCTCTAGAGGCTAAAGTTAATATCCGATTGACTTTAAATTTATATACAGTGTTGAAGGTCATGAGACGAAGAAGCCTATTGATTTTCAGTGATTTCTGATAATTACTGCTAGAGTTATGGCTCTTGATCACTTTGAAAAATCATTGTGGACGCTCTAGAGGCTAAAGTTAATATCCGATTGACTTTAAATTTATTCACACTGTTTAAGGTCATGAGACGAAGAATATTCATTTTCAGCGATTTTCGATAATTACTGCCAGAGTTATGGCCCTTGATCACTTCAAAAAATCTTGTGGACGCTCTAAAGGCCAAAGTTAATATCCGATTGACTTTAAATTTATACACAGTGTTTAAGGTCAAAGACGAAGAAGCCTATTGATTTTCAGCGATTTCTGATAATTACTGCCAGAGTTGACTTCAGATTGATACACAGAGTTTTAGAGCTTGAGACTAACAAGTATATTGATTTTCAATGAATTTTTATGACTTGAACAGCTAAATCCATGATATTAAAAGTTTTGTATACTAAAGGGTAGTATGGGGCAGAACTTTATAAAAACCAAACAAATTCTAATGGTTTTCTGATAATTACTTCAACAGTTGTTACTCTTAATCAGATTTTAGTGTATTATAAATGTTTCATTACCGAAAGAAGTAAAAATATGCGACAACACTTGTTGACTGCCTGGACGATTTAGCTGCTGTGGGCGTATGTTTCGTTGCCTGGCAACCTATCTTTATCCGATTTAGAAAAAAAAATGTACTTAAATCTTGATTATGGCCCCTGATTGTTCGAAAAATCGCATTTTTAGCTTGCAGATTCTCTAGAGGTCACAATTTTTTTCCGATTTTAAAAAACGTTTAAATACATCACCATTCCACCATAATGAAGCTAGTATTCATATTTCGGGAAAATCGAAATGAAACTGCCCGACAAAATGGTCGCTCTTTGTACGCAAATTGTGTAGAAGTGTGTAATACAAAGGTTGTGGACCCTCTAGAGGTCCCAATTTTTATCCGATTTTGATGAAACCTAAAACATATCTTTATATCCCAAAGATCTCAGTCCCTTTTGATATTTGCACATTTCAGGCCATAACTTTCTGGATTATTGCCCCTGATTGTACCAAAAATCATTTTTGTTTTTGGCTTGTTCTCTATCCATCTCTTTCAAAATGTGGGCGTATCCTGCCTGGCAGACGCTGGTTTACAGAAATATTTAAGAAAATCTTTAGAAATACGTCAATTTAGATACAACATTTTGAACATGACGTTTCTGTACAACATTTTGATTTTTAACCTCTAGCTCTATTGGACAATTTCGCAAAACCCAGATTCAACCTTTTGCCTGCCACCGACGTTATATAATTTTTCACAGACATTATATAGATATTATGTAGTTTCATTGCAGATGTTGCTTGGCAAAACAAAATGTCTCCAGCACACCTCATGTCAGGATATAGGCCCCGAAATACAGGCAGTTTTTATACCTCCACATTTTCATGTGGTTGTAATGTATTATGGTACGCCATCATCCCTCTCCGTCCGGACATCTGGACGTCCGTCCATCCATCCACAATTTGTTTGTGGTCACAATTTTTATCCGATTTTGATGAAACTTAGAACTTATCTTTATATCCTAAAGGTCTCTGTCCCTTTTAATATTTGCACATTTCAGGCCATAACATTCTGGATTATTGCCCCTGATTGTACAAAAAATCACGTTTGTTTTTAGCTTGTTATCTAACCATCTCTTGCAAAATGTGGGCGTATCCTGCCTGGCAGCCGCTGGCTAACACAGACGTGTTGAAGATAGGTCACACTCCCTGGAATTTCTTTTCTACTCCTAACATTATTTGCTTTAAAAATTATATTTATGAAATACTCTGGAATGATTATTTGATTTTATGTAATGTAAAGCAAATTATACATAAACTGTAGTTTGGGACATTGTTTTGAATCTTTTGAACGGTTAAATAAACCGAGAAATGATCATATTGTGGTCATTTTCATACAAGTCACAATATTTACCATGTACATGTACCGTTAATAAAATTAGCTGACCTGCATATGAGTTGAGGGATATTTGTCAAATTTTATAAATATACATGTGTAGATACTTTAACAATGCTATGTGAAATAGATAAAAGAAAGCATAGATGGTGTAAAATTAATTGTTAATTGGCTGTGTTGACATAACTTTGTGAGCATACATGTACAACAGTACACATGGAATTCGATCATGTGCCACTTTTTGCATTATTTATTCGTAGTTAATTCTTACACCACAACCATTTTGGAGAGGAATAATTAAATATATGTGATGTGAAATGTGAGTACTGTGATCTAAACTCAATATAATGCATAAAGTAAAATTTTGTCCACCACTTGCTTGTGACAGGTTGTTTTACTTATGACCTGTCAGACCCTTGTTGGAGACAAGTAGCTATACACAGGCTAACATTTTGAGAACTGGGATAAAGTCTTCCAGTCTTCCATATAGGATGGAAAACCGGGATTCCTACCTATATGAAATCCTTGACAGAATTTGAAGACGTGCAGACAAATGCTACTGTCATGTCTAAACTCTCATATACATTACAAAAGTTAGTCTTCATGTCAGGCTATAGCTGTTAACTTAAATTACCTTTTTTAAAACAGTACCAAATTAATATTTTTGTCAATTCCAATAAAGTATGTTTCCCATTCTATAATTACTATAAATGTATTTCAGGGGTTAAACCAAAATCTGGGTGGTCAATTGATCCATTTGGTTATTCTTCAACTATGGCATATATTCTACGGGAAGCAGATTTCAGTAACATGCTTATACAACGAGTGCATTATTCCCTCAAAAAATATTTAGCCAAAGAAAAAGCTCTAGAATTTATGTGGAGGCAGCAATGGGGTAAGTAAAATTTTGAAAACTAAGTAATTTTCATTTGGTTCCGGTATGTCCACATTTCCTATGGGAATATATTGTCAGCACACCTGTTTTTGAAGTCTTTTATGCACCCTTGCCATTACCATGTTTGTCTTGCTGAAACCAGCAACTGGCTTCTGACCACAATTTTTTGTTAATACTCTAAATCCAAAATTCTTCTCGGATGTTTTTTATACGTCCACATTCATAATGTGAACGTATTATGCCGTCGCCCCTGTCTGTGTGTGTGTGTGTGTGTATGTATGTATGTGTGTGTGTGTGTGTGTGTGTGTGTGTGTGTGTGTGTGTGTGTGTCTGTGGTTCGCCTACAGGGCGCAATTCTTCATGGATTTTCTTCAAACTTGGTATACTTATTCCTTATACCCCAAGGAAGATCCCTATTGTTTTTGGTGCATGCCCGACCCCCCGGGGCAGAGCCACGCCCATTTCTAGTATTTGTTTGTTTGTCGTCTACAGGCCACATTTCTTAACTAATAATCTTGAAACTTTGCATACACATTCTTTGTACCCTAAGGAACATCCCTATCGTTTGGGGTGCATGCCCAACCCCCAGGGGCAGAGCCACGCCCATTTTCTTTTCGTGTGTCTTTGTGTCGCCTACAGGGCGCAATTCTTACTGGATTTTCTTCAAACTTGGTATACTTATTCCTTATACCCCAAGGAAGATCCCTATTGTTTTTGGTGCATGCCCGACCCCCAGGGGCAGAGCCACGCCCATTTCTAGTATTTGTTTGTTTGTCGTCTACAGGCCACATTTCTTAACTTATAATCTTGCATACACATTCTTTGTACCCTAAGGAACATCCCTATCGTTTGGGGTACATGCCCAACCCCCAGGGGCAGAGCCACGCCCATTTCCCATTTTCTTTTCGTGTGTCTTTGTGTCGCCTACAGGGCGCAATTCTTACTGGATTTTCTTCAAACTTGGTATACTTATTCCTTATACCCCAAGGAAGATCCCTATTGTTTTTGGTGCATGCCCGACCCCCAGGGGCAGAGCCACGCCCATTTCTAGTTTTAAAAAGTACCATATCAATCAAAGCAGGAATGTGGACGTATATTGCAGCGGTAGCGATGCTCTTGTTTAAATTTGTAGTAATGCTTTATGTGATCATAAGGAAGAACTATTGAAATTAAATTTCAAAAATCGCTGAAAATTGGATTAATTCTTAAACTAGTCGGCTGGGTTCTGATGACTGAAGTAATTTGTTTCAGATCAAGAAGGTTCAACCGACATATTCTGCCATATGATGCCCTTTTATTCCTATGATGCCCCTCACAGTTGTGGTCCAGATCCCAAGATTTGTTGCCAGTTTGATTTTATGCGTCTGCCAAATACTAAATTTCGGTGTCCATGGAAACTGAACCCATTACCTATTACAGAAGGAAATGTGGCTGAAAGGTTAGTTAATTATGCTTAGTAGATGATAAATATGTCTATTTAAGATAACACATGACACAATTATATTTAATACAAGTTGGTTAGAAGTTTATTTCTGGCGATGTTTTGACGAGGGCTCATTTTAATGTGATTGAATGTTACTTTCACCTCTTTCTGTCTTTCACATCTCTTATTAGCAAAATTGAGTCAACAATAATCTGTGGATCTGTTTGACATTCAAGGGATTTAACACAAATTTATTAGATTACCTTTTTTATTTGCAGAGTGAATCTGTTAATAGATCAATATAAGAAGAAAGCTCAGTTGTATAAAACTGATACTCTCTTAGTACCACTTGGAGATGATTTCCGCTATGATACAGCAGGTGAATGGGATCTGCAATTTCAAAATTATCAAAAAATGATTGATTATATTAATCACCACCCCGAATTAAAAATTGAGGTAAGTGAAGAAACTGTATTTATACTGCACAAATATAAAACAAGCTTTAAATATTGAAGGAATTGACACTTGTGCTGTCGAACGTCGGACAAATTCTTCTATTAAAGTAGCAAATTCAGCCTGAAAATACAGTCAGCCAAATCATTTGAAGAAAAAAATTCCAGTTTAGGAAGTCAAAACGACTTTACAGACCTATTTCAGAATATGTTTAGGAAAGAGAAATGGTACTAGGACCTACATATATATATAAGATTGTAATGTGATTGTATCAAATTGTTTTATGTTTTAAATTTAGGTACATTTTGGAACTCTGTCGGATTATTTTAATGCTGTATATGAAAGAACTAATGTAGAAGAAGGTGGTCGTCCTCCCCAAGTGCCAACTTTAAGCGGTGACTTTTTCACCTATGCTGACCGTGAAGATAACTATTGGAGTGGCTATTATACTTCTCGGCCATTCTATAAAAACCTTGATCGTGTGACAGAAGTACATCTTAGGTGAGTAGTCCAAGTTATTTTCGATTTGTTGATGTCACAATCTGCTAAGAGGTAGTCACACAAATGGGAAGGAATTTTTAATAGAATTTAAGTCTTACACATCCAATACGAGTAATCTATGTATTTTGATCACCATCCTCATAGAAGTTATTCACAACGATTCTTTAGATTGTAATGTATTCTGGATGTTAAATTAAAGTCCCAATATTCTAAAATAAAGTTAAGACATATTTAAGACCATACACAATGAAAAGTGCTTTTTGTGAAACTGATTTTGATAAAAAAATTATTTAAATTGATCAATTGGAAGTTACAACTCCATCTTTATGTATCTGAAATGAAGTAATAATAGTCAGTCCATTCTTCATACAGGTTTTTTTGATACAGTAGTATTCTATAAGAGTTTTGATGTTAGAAAAAGCCCCGGTAATGCTCTTTGCTTCATTTCCTGTAATGTTGAACTGTGTTTGTAGGGCAGCTGAAATTATTTATACCACAGCTCTTGGTTATGCACGAAAACATGCTTCTTCAAATTTCCCATCTGTGGCGTTTATGAAGTTTTTGGTTGATGCTCGAAGAAACTTAGGATTATTTCAACATCATGATGGCATCACAGGAACTTCAAAAGAATTTGTTGTTGCTGATTATGGTAAAAGGTAGGTTTATATCATTAATATGATATAAAAACTGGGATTGCAGATATGTATATTTACTGTGCAACTACAGCACTCGTGATATTCAAATGATTAAATAATGTAAGAATGTTTATAATGCAGTTTGTGTCTATAATTGTCTTCCTCCTTTCGAAGATAGCAAGTACTAAATTTAAAAAGATTTGTTTGTCTGTCACATTTTTGGGGAGACAATAACTCTGCTTAGGCTATGCAGAGATAAGCAATTTGATAGGTCTATTCTTTGGTACACAATAACTCTCATAATTGAGTTAAAATTTTCAAACTTGGTTAGGTGAATGCTTGACATCATTTTTATACGACCACATTGAAATGTGGTCGTATATTGTCGTCGCCCCCGTCCGTCGGTCCTGTGTCTACAATTGCTTGTGGACGCCCTAGAGGCCAAAGTTAATATCTGATTGACTTTAATTTCATACACAGTGTTTAAGGTCTTGAGACGAAGAACCCTTTTGATTTTCAGCGATTTCCAATAATTATTGCCAGAGTTATGGCCCTTGATCACTTTGAAAAATCTTGTGGACGCTCTAGAGGCCAAAGTTAATATCCGATTGACCTAAAATTTATACACAGTGTTTAAGGTCATGAGATGAGGAAGCCTATTGATTTTCAGCGATTTCCGATAATTACTGCCAAAGTTATGGCCCTTGATCACTTTGTGACGCTCTAAAGGCTAAAGTTATCATCTGATTGACTTCAGATTGATACACAGAGTTTAAGATCTTGAGACGAACAAGTATATTGATTTTCAATGAATTTTTATGTCTTGAACAGCTAAATCCATGATATTAAAAGTTTTGTAGACAAAACGTTAGCATGTTGCAGAACTTTATAAAAACAAACAAATTCTAATGGTTTTCTGATAATTACTTCATGAGTTGTTGCTCTTAATCAGATTTTAGTGTATTATAAATGTTTCATTACCGAAAAAAGTAAAAATATGCGACAACTCTTGTTGACTGCCCGGATGATTTAGCTGTTGTGGGTGTATGTTTCGTTGCCTGGCAACCTATCTTTTGCAAAGGTTAAAGAGAAAAAAGCAATAGCATCGGATCGGTTTGTAACTGAGGAAGAACACCCACCATTTTTCTTCATCCTTTTCATCTATCAGAGACAGAAGAAAAGGATGAAGAAACAAAAATGAATCTAACAGCACATGCTCATCATAGACTGAGCGTATTCAGAATCCCTAGTTTTGATAATCCCAAGACCTTTATGGCACCTACCTTTTTTTTTCCGATACCAGTACTGACCGATTTAACCAAAACAGAAGAAAACGTGGAAGGCTGGCTAGTTACTTTCGTTTTCCAATCCATGTGAACCAGGGCTTCCACTTCAAAATTTTTCCAATCGGTCATTTTTCATGCGGAGAAAGTGGTGCATAATAAGAAGCCACAAAAGAACATGATATTGAAATACCGATCGGGTTTATTTGGGTCAAGGACAGTCACACAGAAATTTAATCTCACGTCGGCATTTATACCCACCCACCCCTGCAATAAAGGAACACATGTAATCAATTATCATTGATTTATTTATACATAAATAAATAAGATATAACAATAACAATAAACATTCATTCATTCATCGCAAGTACACTATTTGTTTAATTTAATTACATCATCACCCGTATATACTCGTTGGACCTCTGATGGGACTGTTGTGGTATAACATCTTTAAATAGTCAATCTTCTGTTCAAGTGACGTTTTACGGTCACTGGAAGCAGCGTGCTCTACCAGAGTCGAATTTCTAAAATTCTTGGAACCAGTCACAAAACTATTCTTAGCCTTATGTTTCTGACAACGATCTTTTAATTAACCAGTGTGTACTGCGTACGTGACGAGTTAGACTGTTGACTATTTCTCCATACACGGCGAAAAGTAGTTGCGAATGTTTAACGCATTTAAATAATTCAAAGTCATAAAAATGTACAACAATTAACACACTTTTTAAACTTATCAATATATTAACTCGTATTAATATTTGGGGACCTCAAACAATATGGTTCTAGTATTTTCACTCGATAACATGTAAAGATAATTGTACGTGTATCAAAATGGCAGCAGGCATAAAAATTCATTGTGTCGAGCAAAGTAACGTCAATCAGTTGTTAAATAAAAGAAAAAAAAGAGGATTAAAAACACACCCGACAATACATCTTTGTGTAAGAATATCTTAACCAAGGGAATGTTTAAATTACCATTAAGTTGAGATTTTAAGACAGACTTTGTTTTTCGGAGTGGAACTGTCTTCCTCGTGGGCCGAAGCTGAAGATGGGAGGTCGGATTCATTTACGACAATGTTCCCATCTCGCTTTTTTTTATACGCCCACATTGAAATGTGGTCGTATATTGTCGTCGCCCCCGTCCGTCCGGTGGTCCGGATTGTGGACGCTCTAGAGGCTAAAGTTAATATCCGTTTGACTTCAAATTTATACACAGTGTTTAAAGCTGAACTCCGATTATAAAACTACAGAAATAAATAAAAAAAAGGTTGCGCCCAAAACAACCGCCATACTTGTTTTCAATTTCTTGAACTAACATGGCGATCGTTTTGGGTGGACAAACACATAGGCAGGCCACGCCCATTTCCAGTATTTGCCGTGTCAACCGAAGTGTCCACATCCGGTAATTTATAGTCAACTAGCAATTACCTCCTGACTGATCGAATTTTTTCCACTATCAGCCCACAGAAAATATTATTGCTACACAATTATTATGTCTGATCAGGTATATATTATTTTACTAATAAGACGAAATAAGCCAACCACCGTGTACTTTTGCTCTAAAAATAACAGAGAAACTACCAATCCTTTATCAGAGGATTCGGTCAGTTTTTTTTTTTGTTTTTTTTTCCAACTGATTGAATCCGCAGATAAAGGATTAGTAATGTCCCATTATTGTAATGCCCAGTAAAATCTAAGTTATCATATCTCCCCCTCATTTATAGATCCGCCCGTAAAAAAGTAGTTATGCCAAGAAAATTGAATTTTGCAACTTTATGAAGTGAAAACATGGAGGGATGGAGGGAACAACAGTTTTGTTGTTGCTTTGATTATGGAAAAAAAAAAATAAATAACTGATCGAATCCTCTGATAAAGGATTGGTAATGTCCCTTTATTGTAATGCCCAGAAAAATATAAGTTATGTCCCTTGATCGCCATAATAAAAACAATTGGAAGTGAAAACATACTTATTTGATGGAGAGGACTACCGTTTTATTGCTGCTTTGGATATATTTTGGAACGATAATACTAGACTTTATGATGCAGAAAAGTATTTGGTGTTTCTACTCTGTTTTGCAAAAATTTCACGAAATAAGAAACAATTGATTGGTGCTGGTTGATTGTTATTGTTTGGGGTAAGGCAATTTCTCTGTTATTTTTAGAGCAAAAGTACACCGAGGTTGGCTTATTTCGTCTAATTAGTAAAATAATATATACCTGATCAGACATAATAATTGTGTAGCAATAATATTTTCTGTGGGCTGATAGTGGAAAAAATTCGATCAGTCAGGAGGTAATTGCTAGTTGACTATAAATTACCGGATGTGGACACTTCGGTTGACACGGCAAATACTGGAAGTGGGCGTGGCCTGCCTATGTGTTTTTCCACCCAAAACGATCGCCATGTTAGTTCAAGAAATTGAAAACAAGTATGGCGGTTGTTTTGGGCGTAACCTTTTTTTTATTTAATTATTTCTGTAGTTGTATAATCGGAGTTCAGCTTTAAGGTCATGAGATGAAGAAGCCTATTGATTTTCAGCGATTTCCGATAATTACTGCCAGAGTTATGGCCCTTGATCACCTAAAAAAATCTTGTGGACGCTCTAGAGGTCAAAGTTAATATCCGATTGACTTTAAATTTATACACAGTGTTTAAGGTCATGAGACAAAGAAGCCTATTGATTTTCAGCGATTTCCGATAATTACTGCCAGAGTTATGGCCTTTGATCACCTCAAAAAATCTTGTGGACGCTTTAGAGGTCAAAGTTAATATCCAATTAACTTTAAATTTATACACACTACACAGTGTTTAAGGTCATGAGACGAAGAAGCCTATTGATTTTCAGCGATTTCCGATAATTACTGCCAGAGTTATGGCTCTTGATCACTTTGAAAATTTTTATGGACGCTCTAGAGGCTAAAGTTAATATCCGTTTGACTTTAAATTTATACACAGTATTTAAGGTCATGAGACGAAGAAGCCTATTGATTTTCAGCGATTTCCTATAATTACTGCCAGAGTTATGGCCCTTGATCACTTTGAAAAATCTTGTGGACGCTCTAGAGGTCAAAGTTAATATCCGATTGACTTTAAATTTATACACAGTGTTTAAGGTCATAAGACGAAGACGTCTATTCAATTTTAGCGCTTTTTCAATAATTACTTCCAGAGTTATGGCCCTTGATCACTTCAAAAATCTTGTGGACAATCTAGAGGCCAAAGTTAATATCCAATTAACTTTAAATTTATACCCAGTGTTTAAGGTCATGGGACGAAGAATCCTATTGATTTTCGGCGATTTCCGATAATTACCGCCAGAGTTATGGCCCTTGATCACTTTGAAAAATCTTGTTGATGCTCTAGAGGCTAAAGATATTATCCGATTGAATTTAAATTTATACACAGTGTTTAAGGTCATGAGACGAAGAAGCCTATTGATTTTCTATAATTACTGCCAGAGTTATGGCCCTTGATCACTTTGAAAAATCTTGTGGACGCTCTAGAGGTCAAAGTTATTATCCGATTGACTTTGAATTTATACGCAGTGTTTACGGACATAAGACAAAGAAGCATATTGATTTTCACCAATTTCCGATAATTACTGCCCTTGATCACTTCAAAAAATCTTGTGGATGCTCTTGAGGCTAAATTTATACACAGTGTTTGAGGTCATGAGACAAAGAATCCTATTGATTTTCAACGATTTCCGATAATTACTGCCAAACTTATGGCCCTTGATCACTTGGAAAAAAACTTGTGACATTCTAGAGGCTAAAGTTATCATCCGATTGACTTCAGATTAATAATTACTTCATAAGTTGTTACTCTTAATCAGATTTTAGTGTATTATAAATGTTTCATTACCAAAAAAGGTAAAAAATATGCGACAACACTTGTTGACTGCCCGGATGATTTAGCTGCTGTGGGTGTATGTTTCGTTGCCTGGCAATCTATCTTTGTTATTCTAAGAGGTTTGGAATTTCAACATATTGAAATGATGTAAAGCATGCTAACATTTCTGCTATATATATCATTAGCATGATTAACTCTAGTTACAGACATCAAAGTAAAACTTTTAATTTGTTTGATGTTGATACAGTAAATATGGCTGCACAAGTGATGAAAGTCGCAATTATGCTGTAACAACAACTCGGTTTTAAGAATGATCACACTTTACTAAATAAAAAACAAAACTCCGCTAATTAAAGAGATTAAATGTTAAGCTTTTAATCTGTTTTGATGTTAATCCTCCATTGATTGTGATTAGAGCAATATACACAAGGATCACGACACACACAGAGTTTCTTTGTATCACAGGATTTTATGATTTAGCACAAAATATGCTATTTTTCCAGCGTGCAAAATGACCTACGGGTCTGACCCAGATTCGGTCATTTTCCAGAGCCCTCAGTCCCAACCGGTATATACGGCCGACATGGAACCCATGACGTGAATGCCTACTTATTATTGTGTATCATGTGTTTCACAAAAATAAATATTTTTTTTTTAGTAAGAACACTTTTTTGTAAATAATAATATAATCAAAGTTATTTGGGGGACAATTGTCCTGCTCCCAATGTGAGAAGAGAAGCAGTGAAAGACCACTTCATACAATTATAGTTTCAAGCAAAATTTAATGTGTTCCAGTTTCCTGATTACTCTCTCTAAGCATGGCAATACCAGTATAAACCATTTCATGTATTTCATTTTAGGTTGGTTGAAAGTATAAACAATATGAAGAAATTAATAGCCGAATGTGCTACATATTTATCTGTTGAAGATAAGGCCAAATACTCCTACACACCATCTTCACCTATATTTAATATTGTAAGTACATTATTCAATATTTGAAATGCACCTATAACATCTGTTTGCACTATTCTTATATCACTATTTGTTTTTTATATGTCCACATTTAATGTATGTGTATATTGTCATCATCCCTGTCGGTTTTTCTCTCCGTCCGTCCACACTTTGAACCCCATATAGTCTACATTGTTCATCCAATTTAAAAGAAACTGGGTTTGAATTTGATTTGGCCAAATTGCTTACAATGCTCAGACTTCCCTGCTGATTTACTTATGACCTTTCAACCTAAGATAGCTGGGTTTGACACTCCACTGGGGCACTGTTACAAAATCTGGCCTCCCTAGCAGTGACCGTCCCACGTCGCACTGGTCACATATTATGTGTGTGAGTGTCTATATCAATCTGCCTTAATTGTACCTAATTTGGGCTGGGGATCACAAAGCAACTGTTCCATACTTTAAGTGCATGTATCTTATTTTAATCGTTATTGATAGTCGATATAAATCAAACTTAAAGAATAATAGATGTTCTCAAAAGGAAGCATATTATATACATAGTCTGATATATTAATACATTTTACAATAGGTTCATAAAATTACAGTAACTTATTATACAAATGTAATTTATTTTAATGCTCATTTGATTGTTTTTTTTATTATACAAATGTAATTTATTTTAATGCTCATTTGATTGTTTTTTTTAGGATGAATTGAGAAAAAACCATGATTCATTACCAGAAAAAAATGTTCTTATGCTAACCAATGAACCAAGGTGCTGTTTAATTATCTCCCATATTTAGATTTCTTTGTATTATATTCAAATTAGGCAAGATTGATTTTCAGCAAATCATGTGTTCTATCCTGAGTTTGTATGTCTACCCCTGTTGGTTTTCTCTGGGTACTCCAGTTTCCTTCTCCTATACACAAGCAATTATTGGAAAGTAAATATATACCAAAGTGACCTGGTTAGTGTAGAGTGCTGACGTTAAACCCCCATTTCTAGTTCTCTCTCCCTTTTCTTGGTAGAAAGCAACAAGCAATATTGTAAGCTATGTGCATCTTAGTTTTTTAACGTCTGATTCTTTCAAAAGCGATATCGTGGACATGAACAGTATTGCAGGCTTGAGGTTTAAGTTTCTTGCTGCTAACACATAGTATTTATAGTAATTAAGCTAGATTTAATATATTCCAGTCCTGTGTTGATGTACAATTCACTGACTCATGTTAGACAACATGTAGTTAAAGTATATGTATCATCACCTTATGTTGAAGTTAAAGATCCTAGTGGTGAAGTCATACAATCACAAGTTGAACCATACTGGACAGACAAAGAAAAAATAGCTACTGATATATTTAAGGTAATTATTCATTTAATTGTTAGATAGCTATAGTCTGACCACCAAATACAAAACCAATAATCTTTAAAAGAATAAACTTTTAGAATCGGACTGCCGAGTGCCACTTTATTTTTTTAATCTAGTACTTTTCCTACTTTGATACTATTTCCTACTATTCCTGCTACAGATAAAATGGTTGTTATTCTGTTACTGTTATTCAGGTATCATTTGTTGCTGAAGTACCAGGACTAGGTATTAGCTGTTATTATATAAAACAAGTCACAGAGAATGATAATCCTAAAAATACCTTATCTTTTGTTACAATATATCATTCTACATCAACTACACCTGCTAATATGTAAGTACAACTTTAAATAGACCTGAATATTTCATACAAATTTTGATTGTGTCATTTTGATAGATCTTACTGAAAGAGGCAGCTTCAATTTACACTGTAACCCAGGTATCGTTTAATCTTGTGTATCTAGCACTAATTTCTTTCACATTCGTTTAATATCATATCTTTGTTTAAAAATTCGTAAAAATCATTTAAAATCACCAAAAATCATCTAATTTGTACATGTGTCCAGTTTTGATAATGAGTGTCCAATTTACAAGTATTTAATTTCCTGATCTCTGTTCAAAAATTAATCATTATACATCATTAATCAATAGGGTTGTTCATTTTTTAACAATGATTGAGAAATTAAACACTTGTAAATTGGACAGAAGTACAAATTAAATGATTTATGGTGATTTTAAACAGTTTTTACATATTTTTAAACAAAGATTGGATATTAAACGAATGTGAAAGAAATTAGTGCTAGATACACAAGATGAAACAATACCTAGGTTACAGTGTTAGAATTATCAGTATTTCTCACCAGATTTCCATAAACATATATGTCCACATTTTTGTCCCATGCCTTTCGAAGAAAGAAGGGGACTATTAAAATTGGTATATCCGTCTGTCACACTTTTTGGGACACAATAACTCTCTTTCTAATTGAGCTAGAATGTTCAAACGTGGTGTAGGTGTTTAGGTCAATGCCTTGATTTAGTTGGAAGATGACCATTTTCTGTTTATGGTAAGCAGATAAAAGCAATTTTATTGGTTGTTACTTTGGGACATGATAACTTTAGTTCTAATTAAGTGAGAGTGATGAAACTTGGTGTATAGTTTCACTACATCAGTACCTTGACTAAGTTTGATAATGAGCATTTTCTGCTAAGGATAAGCAGAGCAATAAGCAGTTTGATTGGTTGAGACTTTGGAACACAATAACTCTCCTTCTAATTGAGCTAGAATGTTTACACCTGGTGTAGGTGTTTATTAGGTGAATACATGATGGAGTTCGAAGATGAGCATTTTCTGTTTAGGATAAGCAGAGATTAGCTATTTGGTTGATACTTTGGGACACGATAACTTTAGTTCTAATTAAGTGAGAGTGATGAAACTTGGTGTAAACTTGACTAAGTTTGATAATAAGCATTTTCGGCTAAGTGTAAGCAGAGTGATAAGCAATTTGATTGGTTGAGACTTTGGAGCTCGACAATTTTGATAATAATTGAGTGATAGTAGTGAAAATTTGTGTATAGTTTCATTAAATACCTTAACAAAGTTCGATGCTGAGCATTTTCTGCTTAGGCAAAATAGATACTTCAATCTACTCTTCTTCTAATTGAGGTAAAATGTTGAAACTTGGTGTAGGTCAGTGATGGGATTTCAAAATTTTTCTTGGCGGACATTTTTACCGAAAATAAAGGGACATAACTCTTATCATTATTTAAGATGGCAGTTTTTAGACCACACACAAAAATCATGTGTAAACAAAATATTCAAACTGCCCATAATAAAAAAAATAGGTGCACCTCGTTATTTTTCATATTTAATTCCCGTACGGTATTCAAATTTATGTCAGTAATATTCCTACAAAATTCGTAATACGATAAAATGAAAGCGTGCCGACTACTGCAGATCTGTACTGTTTCAAATTCCTCCAAAATTACCATATTTTCGGGTCATAAGTTACTACATTTTTCAGCAGAAGTCCGACATTCGTCATATACTCCGTTACATCTTATGTAGAAAGGGTAAGAATATGATATCCCGAAATTGTTTGGACAATAAACGTCGCTCTACCACAACGAGCGAATGACACCATCCGCTAAATAATCGCATACTACTCTAGCACGCGCTATCGTCTAACACAATTAAGTACTTACACTATTCCAATCGACATATTCGTCAACATTGCCTAGATTACTTATTTCTTTATTTAATAACATAAACCCCATTCAAAATATGATCATAAATCCGAGAATATGCCATCAAAATAGAATCTTTTCTTCGACATTAGAAGCGTGTATTTAGTCACGTATTCATTTCATAATTTCATGCGTCTAGCGAGATTTCTAATACCGGTTCAGTTATCGTACTTTAACTGCCTGAAGCTGTTTTTCTTTCTTTGCTCTGAAAATTCATAACACGCTTCGAATGACGCAGTTTTGATAACTTCTTTCTAAAACCGGCAAGTTCGTAGGTACATATCACTTACCGTCATACAGCCGAAGCTAGATGTAGAGTAACGAAATCTGCCGAGGTTTCCCGAGTGCTGTAACCGCGTGCTAGCAAAGTCTAGTATTTTTCGGATATGTGTGTGTGTGTGAAATAGCTTTATTTAATGCTCGCTTCCACCGAAGTGATATCGCAGACGATTTATAATGACTGTCTATTGATCTGGGCGTTATATACTCTTGCAATATGTGACTTCTATGACTAGTTTATACATATTGTCGGCGCACATCAGTGCGATTAAAATGTCTGACAATGCAGAAACCATGGGGTTAACACAAAGATTAAAATTATAATGGATTGATGAATAGTCCGACAAAGGGGAAACAATGGCTTTTGTTTAAGATTAGATTGATGAATTGTCCGACAAAGGATTAAGTCAGTCAATCAAAGCAGATTAAGTAGTTAATCAAGGTAGGTTTATAGTCCGTATAACACGATAAATACGTTGATCACTTAATTACCTAATCAATCCAGTGTATTATCGATGATAATCTGGTTGAGTGGTAGCTATACACTCAGTAAACTATATTAATTTCGGAATTTTGAATATTATTCACCATGTCTTGATGTCCGATTGGGCATATTCCCGGTCGGACAGTTTTGGGCGTTTGGAAAAAAGATTCGAACAAGTCCGGAATATACGGGCAAAATCCCATCACTGGTGTAGGTGTCTTATTAGGTGAATGCCTTGACAGAGTGCAATCATGCACATTTTCCACTATAGCTAAGCAGAGATAGCCTATTTTATTTGTTGAGACTTTGGAATGAGATAACTTTGGTTCTAATTGTGTGAGAGTGATGAAACTCCGAGTCTAGATTCATTATATCAATGCCTTGACTAAGTTTGATGATGAGAATTTTCTATTTAGGCTAAGTAGCAATAAGCAGTTTGATTGGTCAAGACTTTGGAAAATATATATATATATATATATATATATAAACTCTGCTTTTATTTGAGGTAGAATGTTTAAACTTGATGAAGATGTTCATTAGGTGAATGTCTTGACTGAGATCAATGATTAACATTTTCCGCCAAAGCTAAGCAAAGCAGAGCAAAGCTAAGCAGAGCTAAGCAATTAAATTGGTTGATGCTTTAGGACAAGATCACTTTGATTCTAACTGATGGAGAGTGATGAAACTTAGTGTATAGTTTCACTACCAGGTACTTCAAAACCTTGACTGATTTTGATTGTGAACATTTTATGCTTAGCCTAAGTATAGATAATCAGTTTGATTGCTCGATACTTTTGTAAAAGATAAATGTGCAATTGATTAATATGTGTCATTTATTTATTTTGAGATTTTGTCGGGGGAAATCAGCCACCGTTAGCTTGTTTATCCTAAATACATAACCATTGATTGAAAAATATTTCCAAATTACCATTACCCGAAAAATATTTTTTACCAAAAACATTATTTCCATTGAGATACTTTAATGGAAACTTTTATGACAATGTACGATTTTTAAGTAGGTGTCATTATTTAAATATACTGATTCTGACAATCATGTAATTTTCAAAATATGCCATACACACTTGTTAAAGCTATATTGTATGGAAGGATAATGTTGCCAATAATATTTAAATGCTCACTGTGCAAAATACATATGTCAGCAATTCAAAATACGTATTTTAGTTTTACAATTTGCAATTTCCGTTGCTCCACAGTACAAATGTCACGGTGTTATAATACTAAATACAGTATAATAGTTATTTTGCACATTACACTTCTCCATTCTGCATAATAGACAAATGCATAATAGAACTTAGCATATTAGAACATATACCTTATATGGGATCTACAACGAAGCTCATTTGCATACGGAAAAAAGTCTGGACTACGACGGAAATTAATAATTTACATGATCAACTACAAGGTCATGGATTATGCGTTTCATGAAGATTGATTGTAACTTAAAATGCAATTTGAATAGATTTTAGTTAAAATTGCTTGCGCTCTCGCAGTGGACAATTCCAGCGAGGGCACCTTAGGGTGTAAGGATAAACGCTTCGGAACTGAAAACTGTTGCCAGGTTGAACTAACCGTTACAATATCAATGATGAGAGTTTCATACGTTGTAACAATGTCTGCACAAGCTCAGACAGTCGTAGAGAGATGCAATAAATAAGTTTATTGCGTATTATTCGTCTTGAAATGTATCAGTTGGTTGGCCTTGAACTTGCATGTCGCTTTTGTGACCTTGGCATTTGATTTACCCGCAGGCTTCAAGTAAAACGCTTGAATTTCGTAGTTTTATGGTATTTTGGATAACAGAAACTGTTGAGAATTGTCACAAACATGTGATATTTCTGACTCTTTTAAACTAATACACGAAATAACCAATGTTCCAATGCCTAGATTTGAAATGTCAGTCCCATGGACCTTTCAATAAAACTTTGAAAATGCCTAAGTGCCACACTCCTTATTGGATAATGCCTATCTATCTTACTAAATTAAAATGATTTTTTCCCAATATAAAATACCCTTAGCCCCTAAATAAATCATCATAACCCCAAAACCATAAATACTTTGCATATGGCGTAACTAGTATTATAGGACTGACAGGGTTTCGATTTCCTGGTTGTACGTGACATTATTCAAATAAAATTGAACCATGTGTTAGTCCCGAAATGACCTAGTTTGTGTCTAGTGGACGTTAACCCCCCCTCTCTCTCTCTCTCTCTCTCTCTCTCTCTCTCTCTCTCTCATTTTAAACAATTGTAGGCCTACAAAGATATTTTTTAAGACATTAGATATGAAGTGAGTTAAGATTTTTTTTTTAGGTTTTTTTAGGGGTCTATTTATTATTTGCAACTAGTATAATTTATACCAGAATCATATGGTAATATATAAAATAGTAACAAAGAGTTTTGAGGGTTTTTTTTGTTCTAGGGCCTAGGGGTTTTAATTTGAGGTGTCATCGAATTGCTTATATTGCCTTACAATAAAATAAACGGTGGGCCGCAGCTATAATTCCCATGCAATGAAAAGAAATTGAATAAAAATTATTTTAGTATGTTTAAATTATATAACCCGGGCCATTGGCAATATTATCATTATTCCAAATATATCTATATGTCGCAATAGATCTCACAACGTAGCTCTAATCATTGTTTGTTAATATGATTTTTTTAAGTTAGGAGAGGGCACAGCTTTCCTAAGTTAAAATTGATTTTAGTTAAAATTGTCCCTAAAATAGTTTTGTGAAACGCCACTATTTTAAGTTAAGATACAATTTTAACTTAAAATATTATTTTAGTGGATTTTATCTAAAATGCTTAAAATTGTTTTGTGAAATGCATCTATCTTAAGTTAGGATGGAATTTTAGTTTAAGACGATTTTAAGGAGATTTAAGTTTTTGTGAAACAGGGACCTGCTCTGACTGGGCTAATAAAATCTGATATACGCCATGCATTGTGCTATGAGGAAAAATTTGCCTGCACGGCGGTGTTATATACGGCCTACAGTACTTTTGTATCGATTTCCAACTGCCAAGGCGCCAAGGGATCTTTATGTGCACGCTAATGTGTACACGGGACCTCGTTTTTTCATTCCATCCGAATGATTAGACAGTTGTCCTTGTCAGGCCATCCGTCCTGCATCACTGACAAGGGGAAGAAAAACGATCAAAGTCGGGTGGTACGAAACTCTATTAAATGAATGGTGTTTAATGTCCTACTGTTCTGGTCCGACCGGGATAATGAAGACGGGCATATGCCATACAGTGTGCTATGGCACTAAGGCCTACTTTTATATCGAATTCCAACTGCATGCACAACAATGTATACACGGGACCTCAGTTTTTTGTTACATCCGAACGATCAGACAGCTGTCCTTGCCAGATCCTCTTTCCTGCACCACTGACAATGGGAAACACGTCGGAAAATCCTGATATACTTTCTCGGCCAGTGCAGGGATCGAACACACGACCTACACAGGCTAGCAAGCCAGCATCTTACCCACTTAGCCAGAAGTCATGGTCATCCAGCGAATTCCTTATTGCATGCTAGCTTGATTCGCTCTGACTTACTGCATGGTAAGCCGATTTATTGTATGGTGACTTATTGTATGCCAGCTTCATCTATGCCCAGATTGATTGCGTAAATGTTTTCCGTATGCAAATGAGCTTCGTCGTAGATCCCATATAAGGTATATGTTCTAATTTGCTAAGTCCTATTATATGCATTTGTCTATTATTCAAAATGCAATATGGAGAAGTGTAATGTGCAATATAACTATTATACATGTACTGTATTTGTATCATTGAAAAGTGTACTCTGTATTTTAACACTGTGACAATGGTATTGTGGAGCAATGGAAATAGCAATTTGTAAAATTAAAATATACGTATTTTGAACTGGTGACATATGCAGTTTTACAGTGAACATTGAAATAATATTGGCAACATTATCCTTCCATAATATTGTGATTAACTTGCTTGTGGGCTTATGAGGTGATTTTAGTCTGTATTTTGATTTTTCCTGGTCATTTAAGTTTATAGGGTCAATGATCCAGTGGGGCTTGAGGGAAAGATGATGCTTAAATTTTTGAAATTTTTTTGATCATTATATACTGATGACAAGAACAGACATAACTGGACCCGTGCTGCCTCTATGATGAGTTTCACCAGTGATATTTAATCTTTAAACAGTATCATTTTTATTTTCGTTACCAATAGAATTTGTCAAGAGAAATTAGTTAAAATTTTATACATTTATCACACTGAGAGAAGAGATCAGAAAAGAAACCCAGATAACAAAGACTCAATGTCCAGTATATCCTGCTAGTACTAAAATGTTGACGAAATGAAAAATTGATATGAAAAGATAACAAATTTTGTTAAAGTGACATCACTACAAAATATTTATATGGGGCTTTAAAATTAAACACTTTCAGTTTCATGGCACAAATTTTGATAAACATTAGACTAAATTAAGTTGGTGATCATCCCCGCCCGCCCAGAAAATTCTACCTGACCAGAATTTATTTTTTATTTTCAAAATTTACCCACTTATGATGTTTATAACCAATGGTTAAAAGTTTCAAAATGTAGCCAGGCTACGAAATTCCTAAGCGCAAGAGTTATTGAAGTAAGCGGATATAATTATTGACACGTGTTTTCTAATACTCTTAAAATGCGTAGGACTGAATGACATAAACAAATTGCGACCTGTTAACGGCAGCAATGGCCGACATTTTCGTTTGAACGCGTACAGCATCAAATACAATATTTTGAATACAATACAACCTGGAACTATATGTTAAGATGGGAATACGTCTCGCCGATTCTGAATTACATGGAACAGTCTCTCGAATAAATGTAACAACAGATTTTCGGAATGGCCATGGGGGCATGAATGACTAAATCGACCAATTATTAGTGATCGTTAGTTGTTATGCAAAACTTTTTTTTTTTTTTTTTTTTTTTTTACGGATTCTTCTGGTGGTCTTACTATTCGCAAGTTTAAATAATTAATCTGAACAATGCAAATGACAATCAGTGGCTTTATATGCAGATGAGTTGTGTTTTGACATGAAATAAAAGGTTAATATTGCTAAGTATATTGCTTGTTTTGTATATGCATTAAAAAAAAAAAATAAAATAAAAACCTCCCTCCCTCCCACATTTTTTTTTTAAAAAAAAGGACGATCACCAACTATTTTTTTTTAGGTGGCCTAACCTAGAAGCCAGAACAAGGACTCAACAGGATGTCTTTATTTTCATTATCAATTGAGAAAAGATACCATTTTAAATACTTTATTTTAAAGGAGCTAAGTCTTTAACTCAATATCATCCAAAATCTTCAGCCCCAGTTGTATCAAGAGACTCGAGGGACGAGGCTAGACACATTGCACCAAATCAAACGGCGTATGTAGACTGGAATAACCAGACTCCAGAAATTTGCACTCGCTTGAGACTGCTGGCTTATTTCGCCGAACATAATTGATTTGAAATTGGAGTAAAAACGGAAACCATTGAATGTAAATCAGTTTATATACATTCATATTACAGTATTATATGCGTTGCGACCCCCTTTTGTCCTTTAACAGGACACTACCTTATAAAACAATCTGTATAGATTGATCTGCCCAATATAGTCAAAATTTGCTAATTTTTCAAGTCATCTTTGGAATACGATTAGTGCTATTGTTACTGTGTGCAATAAGGTGATTTTCAAAGTGTTTGTTATACATTTAGACATTTTATTGTTCAAAATCGTTGTAGTGGTGTGTTTGTCCACACCCACTTGCTTTATTTTGGATGCATAATGTTCTTTATTAACAGTCAAATAGTAAAATTTATACCTCATTGCACTCTTTAATGCCTATATATGTTATTCCAAATCACAAATAGTTTGTTTCAATAAAATTGGTGAAGATTTTGATTTTCTAACATACCCACTGAAATATATTTAAAAATTCAATATGGCCACCATTTCCATGGCAACAAATTAACATTTTGGGCTCAAATTATCAAATCTGATTTGGGACATCATATACTAATATTGCACTAAATGGCAAGTTTCTGTTTTTAGGTAGTGTCCTGCCTTAATATAGATAATATTTGACTGTTTTCAGAAAACCATTCCCATTGGATATAAAAACCCATTCTGAAGACTTTACTATTGAGAATGATTATCTAAAGATAAGTTTTACTGAAGGTACTTCTATGTTGAAGGTAAATGACAAAATTATGTGAATTTATTTCAATTATTTCTATGCATTAATATATCATAATCGAGCATACATATTCAATGTGTCACCTCTCTGATAATTACCAAAATTCAAGCCTATTTAGAAAAAGTCATTTTTTTACAAATATTCGCTAAAATCTCTGTACACCCCGTGAATGAAGAGTGGACATGTTTGTTTCCTAGTAATGGCTGGACAGATTTGTTTCATATTTTACATGTCAATTAATTTGAATGTACAGTACACATATTAACTTCATGCATAGTCCAATCAAGTCAAATTGAATATTTTATTTTTTTACTCACTGGCAAAGACCTAAAAAAAATGCTGATACTTATAACTAGTTTCTATTGATTGCACCCCATCATCATGCACCTATAGAATGTCTGTGGTGGTTTGAAATATATCTCATTTGCATACATCGATATCGACAATAAGAGATGATCTAACCAACATTTTATGTTTAATTTTTATATGCCCACATTTTCATGTGGACGTATATTGTCGTCCGTCTGGACGTTCACAATTGTTTGTGGACACTCTACAGGTCACAATTTTTATACATCCACCCACATTTTCATGTGGACGTATATTGCCGTCGCCCCTGTCCGTCCACAATTGTTTGTGGACACTCTACAGGTCACAATTCTTATCCGATTTCGAAGAAACTTGAAATATAGGTTTATCTCCAAAAGATCTCGGTTGCTTTCGATATCGGCATGTATCGGACCGAAACTTCATGGATTATGGCCCCTGATTGTACGGAAAATCATGTTTTTAGCTTGTGGACCCTATAGAGGTCACAATATTTATCGGATTTTGTTGAAACTTAAAATGTAAATTTACAACCAAAAGATATCGGTTCCTTTCAATATTCGTGCATATCGGATCGTAACTTCCTGAATTATGGCCCCTGATTGTACGAAAAATCACGTTTTTAGCTTGTGGACCCTATAGAGGTCATAATTTTTATTCGATTTTAAAAAACTTTTCAGTATGTCACCGTTACACCCTAAGGAAGGTTGAGTTTGACTTTCGTGAAAATCAGCCCAAAACTGACAGACAAAATGGCTGTCCCTCGTTCTCAAATAGCGTAAAAATATGGTATATCAAGGTTGTGGACCCTCTAGAGGTCAAAATTTTCTTCTGATTTTGATGAATCTTGAAATGTAAGGTTATAACCAAAAGATCTTGTTTCCTTTCAATATTCGCGCATATCGGAACATAACTTGCTGAATTATGGCCCCTGATTGTACGAAAAATCGATTTTTTAGCTTCTGGTCCCTCTAGGGGACACAATTATTATCCGATTTAAAAAATATGTGTGAATATATCACCGTTACACCGTAATGATGGTTGAGTTTGAATTTCATGAAAATCAGACCAAAACTGCTGGACAAAATGGCTGCCCCTCGTATAACGCAAATGGTGTAAATACGTGGTATATCAAGGTTGTAGATACTCTAGAGGCCACAATTTTTTTTCGATTTTGATGCAACCTTAAATTTATGCTTATATCATAAAGGTCTTGGTTCCTTTCGATATTCGCGCATATCGGATCGTAACTTCCTGAATTATAGCCCTTGATCGTTGAGTGTGAATTTCGTGAAAATCAGACCAAAATTGCCCGACAAAATGGCCGCCCCTTGTACACTAATAGTGTAAAAATATGGTATATCAAGGTTGTGGACTCTCTAGAGGTCACAATTTTCACCCAATTTTGATGAAACTTGAAATGCATGTTTATAACCCAAAGATCTTGGTTCCTTTCGATATTCACGCATATTGGATCGTAACTTCCCGAATTATGGTCCCCGAACGTACGAAAAATCACGTTTTTAGCTTGTGGTCCCTCAAGAGGTCACAATTATTATCTGATTTAAAAAAACATTCGAATATGTCACCATTACACCGTATTGTTGGTTGACTTCGAATTTCATGAAAATCGGACCAAAACTGCCAGACAAAATGCGCACCCCCCCACCCCGGTACGCAAATAGTGTAAACATCTGGTATATCTAGGTTGTGGACCCTCAAGAGCTCACAATTTTGTTTTGATTTTGATGAAACATGAAATGCATGTTTATAACCCACAGATCTCGGATCCTTTCGATATTGTACGAAAAATCACGTTTTTAGCTTGTGGACACTCTAGAGGTCATCTGATTTTGATGAAACTTGAAATACATGTTTATAAATAACCCATAGATCTTGGTTCATTTCGATACATGCATATTGTACGGTAACTTCCTGAATTATGGCTCCTGATTGTACGAAAAATCGCGTTTTTAGCTTGTGGTGCCTCTAGAGGTCACAATTATTATCTCATTTAAAAAACCGAATATATCACTATTACACCATACTGTTGGTTGAGTTTGAATTTCGTGAAAATCGGATCAAAACTGTTGGACAAAATGGCCGGCCCTAGTATGCAAATAGTGTAAACATATGGTATATATCAAGGTTGTGAACCCTCTAGAGGTCACAATTTTGGCCCAATTTTGATGGAACATGTTTTTGCTTTCGATATTCGCACATGATTGTATCATAACTTTCTGATTTATGGCCTTTGATTGTACGAAAAATTGTGTTTTTAGCGTGTGGTCCCTCTAGAGGTCACAATTTTTTATCCTGTTTAAAACCGTGTGAAAATATCACCGCTACACCCTGGTGATGATTGAATTCGAATTTCGTGAAAATCAGGCCAAAACTGCCACTACTCGTACGCAAATAGTGTAAAAATATGTTATATTTATATCAAGGTTGTGGACCCTCTGGAGGCAACAATTTTTATCCGGTTTTGATGAAACTTTATGTTTATATCACAAAGATCTTGGTTCCTTTTGATAATCACGCAAATCCGAACGAAACTTCCTTGATTATGGCCCCTGATTGTTCGAAAATTTGCATTTTTATATGCCCACATTTACATGTGGAGGTATATTGTTGTCGCCCCTGTCCGTCCGTCCTTCCACAACTGTTTGTGAACACTCTACAAGTCACAATTTTTATCCGATGTCAATGAAACTTGAAATATAGGTTTATCACCCTAAGATCTCGGTTCTTTTCGATATTGGCATGTATCGGACTGTAGCTTCATGGATTATGACCCCTGATTGTACGAAAAATCACGTTTTTAGCTTGTGGACTCCATAGAGGTCACAATTTTTATCCGATTTAAAAATATGTTACAATATATAATCGTTACACCCTAAGGATGGTTGATTTTGAATTTCGTAAAAATCGGACTGAAATTGACAGACAAAATGGCCGCCCCTCGTTCGCAAAAAGTGTCAAAATATTGTGTACCGGTATCACGCTTTTAGCTTGTGGACTCCATAGAGGTCACAATTTTTATCCCTCGTTCGCAAAAAGTGTCAAAATATTGTGTACCGGTATCAGGGTTTGTAGACCCTCTGGAGGTCTTAATTTTCATCTGATTTTGATGGAACTTGAAATGCATATATGTTTACAACCCACAGATCTCGGTTCCTTTTGATATTCGCGCATATCGGACCATAGCTTCCTGAATTATGGCCTCTGATTGTTCGAAAAATCGCATTTTTAGCTTGTGGACCCTATAGAGGTCATAGTTTTTATCCGATTTAAAAAAACATATTGTTATATCACCGTTACACCCTAAGGACGGCTGAGTTCGAATTTTGTGAAAATCGACCCAAAATTGACAAACAAAATGGCCGCTGTTCGTTCTCTAGATGTTACAATTTTTTTCCGATTTTAAAAACCGTTTAAATACATCATCATTCCACCATAATGATGGTTGAATTCGTATTTCGGGGAAAATCGAAATGAAACTGCCCGACAAAATGGACACTCTTTGTACACAAATTGTGTAGAAACTAAGGATGTAACGGTTCAAAAATTCTTGAACCGGTTAACTGGTCGTTAAAAACCCAACCGTAACCGGTTAACCCATAAAAATTTTCTATGAAAATATTTGTTGCATCAAAATAAGACTTGATAATATATTTTTATATTATTAGTATTACAGTTTTTAAGTTAACAGTCAGTACAGATTCCATTAATTCATTCATTCTTGATGTTTCATTTCTCCATCTTGCGCCCTGACAGGTCACATATAGACCAGTTGAATTGATTTGAAATCATGTTGATTTAAAAAAAAAAAAAAAAAAAAAAAAAAAGCTTCACTAATACTTCATAAGATTAGTTATGAACTCAATATTTGAAAGCATACCTTTGGATTTTTAAATACAAAATAAGTTTGATTATTCAACAACAGCTAATTCCAAAGGATTTACTACACGTGTTTCTGTTGCAAGCCATGCTGTAACCTCTGGTACCAGTGACCCGTATGTCAACTTTGACCCCATCGGCACAGCATCGTGCGCTCGAGTGATAATATAAACAATTTTACTATTATATCCTATCTATTTTAATATTATTTCATCACATCATACTTGTTTTATTTTGAGACTTTGTTTATGGAGTGATGAGGTTAATACTTTAAAACAATTAATTTGTCAATCAGTTGAGGCAATTTAATGCTTGACAGCGAGGGCTAATAACGACCGAACACAATTTGGCGACCTATTCGGCTATCGACCTATTCGACCGATCCAGCTGGCAACCTGTTCGTTGGCAACCTATTCAGAATAAATTCAACAGTCGCCCAAACTCATCTATTTTTATCAACCAATCAAATCCAACGTTACGTCTATCAAATGAAAGTAGAATATATTATTATTTATCCATTCCTTTAGCTCAGAATAGAGATGTATTTTCGCATTATCTTACAAAATTCCGGACATCCAACTAAATATATTCCGAAAGGTAAATAAATAAGCTTTCCAAATATTATTAGTAAAAGTTGGCACAGTCATGTTAAAGGGATGCACTCTCATCCTAAACATGGCCAATTTTGAAAAAAAATTTAAACGGAAAGACTGTTAATGTTAATATCCCGTGTCAAAATTCGGACCATCGTACAAAATTCCGATGACCCAACTAAATATATTCTAAAAGGTAATTGAATAAGCTTTCCAAATCTTATTAGTAAAAGTTGGCACAATCATATTAAAGGGATGCGCTCTCAACCTGAACATAGCCCATTTTTCAATATTTTAAAGTGAAAGAACGGTAATATTCCGAGTCAAAATTCGGATCATCGTACAAAATTCTGAGCATCGGGCTATATATATTCTGAAAGGTAATTGAATAAGCTTTCTAAATATTATTAGTAAAAGTTGGCACAATCATATTAAAGGGGTGCGCTCTCATCCTAAACATCGTCCATTTTTCAATATTTTTAAAGTGAAAGAACGGTAATATTCCGATTCGAAATTAGAACCATCGTACAAAATTCTGAGCATCCAGCTATATATATTCTGAAAGGTAATTGGATAAGCTTTCCAAATATTATTAGTAAAAGGTGGCACAATGATATTAAAGGAGCGCGCTCTCAACCTGAACATAGCCAATTGTTCAATATTTTAAATGTAAAAATAGACCTGTATTTTTTTCGAAGTCCATATTCGGATCATCGTACAAAATTCTGAACATCCAGCTATATATTTTCTGAAAGGTAATTGATTAAGCTTTCTAAATATTATTAGTAATAGTTGGCACAATCATATTAAAGGGGCGCGCTCTCAACCTGAACATAGCCCATTTTTCAATATTTTAAAGTGAAAGAACGGTAATATTCCGAGTCAAAATTCGGACGATCGTACAAAATTATGAGCATCCAGCTATATATATTCTGAAAGGTAATTGAATAGGCTTTCCAAATATTATTAGTAAAAGTTGGCGCAATCATATTAATGGGGCGCGCTCTCAACCTGAATAAAGCCAATTTTTCAATATTCTAAATGTAAAGATAGATCTGTATTTTTTTCGAAGTCAAATTTCGGATCATCGTACAAAATTCTGAGCATCTAGCTATATATATTCTGAAAGGTAATTGAATAAGCTTTCTAAATATTATTAGTAAAAGTTGGCACAATCATATTAAAGGGGTGCGCTCTCATCCTAAACGTCGTCTATTTTTCAATATTTTTAAAGTGAAAGAACGGTAATATTCCGAGTCAAAATTAGAACCATCGTACAAAATTCTGAGCATCCAGCTATATATATTCTGAAAGGTAATTGGATAAGCTTTCCAAATATTATTAGTAAAAGTTGGCGCAATGATATTAAAGGGGAGCGCTCTCAACCTAAACATAGCCAATTTTTCAATATTCTAAATGTAAAAATAGACCTGTATTTTTTTCGAAAGCCATATTCGGATCATCGTACAAAATTCTGAACATCCAGCTATATATATTCTGAAAGGTAGTTGATTAAGCTTTCTAAATATTATTAGTAAAAGTTGGCACAATCATATGAAAGGGGCGCGCTCTCAACCTGAACATAGCCCATTTTTCAATATTTTAAATTGAAAGAACGGTAGAATTCCGAGTCTGAATTTTGACACGGGATATTATAGGTCCTTCCCTTTAATTTTTTTTTCAAAATTGGCCATGTTTAGGATGAGATGCACCCCTTTAATATGACTGTGCCGACTTTTAATAATAATATTTGGAAAGCTTATTTAATTACCTTTCGGAATATATTTAGTTGGATGTCCAGGATTTTGTAAGATAATGCGAAATTACATCTCTATTCCGAGCTAAAGGAATGGATAAATAATAATATACATGTATTCTACTTTCATTTGATAGACGTAACGTTGGATTTGATTGGTTGATAAAAATAGTTGAGTTTGGGCGACTTTTAAATTTATTCTGAATAGGTTGCCAACGAACAGGTTGCCAGCTGGATCGGTCGAATAGGTCGCTAGCCGAATAGATCGCCAAATTGTGTTCGGTCTAATAACGTATACAAATGTCAAAACTTCGAGTGGGAATTTACAGTCGTTAACTTCCCGAGACTTATCACAAATGACATGTGCTATTTGAAATAATTAAGTGGTCTTAGTGAAAGAAAACAATATTGTGGCTATCATTCCTGGGTTTGAAGGTCAGGTATGATATGAAAACGAATACCGAATAGTAATTTTTTGAACCGGTTCGACAGTGCAACCGAACCGTGACCGGTTAACCGAGTGACCGTTTACATCCTTAGTAGAAACTTAAAACATATCTTTATATCCCAAAGATCTCTGTCACTTTTGATATTTGCACATTTCAGGCCCTAACTTTCTGGATTATTGCCCCCGTTTGTACAAAAAATCACATTTGTTTTTATCTTGTTCTCTATCCATCTCTTGCCAAATGTGGGCGTATCCTGCCTGGCTGCCGCTGGTTAGCTTGTGGACCCACTAGAAGTCACAATTTGTATTCAATTTTAAAAAGCGTTTCAATATATCACTGTTACACATCAATGAAGGTTGAGTTCGAATTTCATAAGAATCTGACCGAAACTGATTGACAAAATGGCTTCTCCTTGTACGCAAATAGTGTAAAAGTATGTAATACCAAGGTTGTGGACCCTCTAGAAGTCACAATTGTTGCCTGATTTTGATGACACTTAAAATATATGTTTATGTCCCAAAGATCTTGGTTCCTTTCGCTATTTGTGCATATCAGACTGTAACTTCCTGGATTACAGCTCCTGATTGTACGAAAAACGTGCTTTTTAGTTTGTGGATTCTGTAGAGGTCACAATTGATTTATCCGATTTTAAAAAACGTTAAAATATATCACTATTCCACCATAATAAAGGGGAAAATCAAAATAAACTGCCCAACAAATTGGCCGCTCTTTATACACAATGTGTTGTAAAAGTATGTAGTATGAAGGTTGTTGACCCTCTAGAGGTCACAATTTTTATGCAATTTTGTTGAAACTTAAAATATATCTTTATATCCCAAAGATCTTTGTCCCTTTCGATATTTGCACATTTCAGACCATAACTTTCTGGATTACGGCCCCTGATCGTACGAATAATCACTTTTGTTTTTAGCTTGTTCTCTATCCATCTCTTGTAAAATGTGGGCGTATCTTGCCTGGCAATCGCTGGTTCTATATTAATATCTAAATAAAACTTTTCAGTCCATATTTGTGTTAAGTTTTCAATAATGAACTGTTTCATAATAATGAACCGTCTGCTTCTTTAGACAGTAAACAGAAAAGAAGATGAGGAAGAACATAAGGTATCTGTAGAGTTTGTGGAATATTCAACAAGAAGATCTGGTGATAAATCAGGAGCTTATCTATTTCTGCCTGAAGGTGTTGCTAAGGTAAATAATATATTGTTAATCTCTTGTACCAAAGAGCTTAATGGTCCCAAAATTATTCAAATGTTCAATCTGTAACAGCTGTTGTGGCCATCTAAAGATTTCAATATTTTCTATTGATTTAATTCAAATCTTTTTTCTCTTTGGTCGATACTTTTGCATCAAACACTTTTTATGTGCCCACATTTTCATGTAGATGTTTATTGTTGTCACCTCTGTCTGTCCACGTATCTTTACTACACTAGGATCTGGAAGAGTTGTTATATAACTCGCGTTCTGGTGATGTGAATGATTAGCCAATGAAAGGGCCTGTTACATCGAGGTCATGGTGTGCGATGCACAGAACTGTGGGTATCCTACTAGAAACATCAACGCTGATAGGTTAATCAAATGTCTGACATCATAGGGTCAAAAGCCGCTCGTATAACCCCTGATGTAACCTCCAACTTTACTGGTCAGAACTTCATGTAGTACAGGCCATCGAAAGTATGAAAAAAATGGAACGAAATATAGATCTGTATTTAATCAGTTTGATAATATTCCTTGAGAAAATATTATTAGGGAAAGAGAGATAAGAGTCAAACGATATATTGGGTTATTTGTAGTACTTTATGGGACATAATAACTCTCTTTCTAATTGAGCTAGAATGTTCAAACTTGGTGTAGGTGTTTATTAGGTGAATTACATGATGGAGTTCAAAGATGAGCATTTTCTGCTTAGGGTAAGCAGAGATAAGCAATTTGATTGGTTGATGCTTTGGAACACGATAACTTTAATTCTAATTAAGTGAGAGTGATGAAACTTGGCGTATAGTTTTATCACATCAATACCTTGACTAAATTCCATAATAAGCATTTTCTGCTTAGGGTAAGCAGAGTGATAAGCAATTTGATTGGTCAAGGCTTTGGAACACAATAACTCTCCTAGTTGAGGGAGAATGTTCAAACTTGGTGTAGGCGTTCATTAGGTGAATGCCTTGATGCAGTTCGATGATAAACATCTTCTGCTTACGGTATGCAGAGATAAGCTATCTGATTGGTTGATGCTTTGGGGCCAATAACTTTGGTTGATGCTTTGGGGCCAATAACTTTGGTTTTAATTAAGTAAAAGTGATGAAACTCTGAGTATAGATTCATTATATCATTACCTTGACTTAGTTTGATGATGAGAATTTTCTGCTTAAGCTAAGGATCAATAAGCACTTTGATTGGTCAAGACTTTGGAACATAACAACTCTGGTTTTAATTGAGGTAGAATGTTTAAACTTGATGTTGATGTTCATTAGGTAAATGTCGTGACTGAGTTCAATGATTAACATTTCGAGCTAAAGCTAAACAGAGCTAAGCAATTTCATTGGTCGATGCTTTAGGATAAGATAACCTTGATTCTATCTGATAGAGAGTGATGAAACTTAGTGTATAGTTGATAATCAGTTTGTTTGCTTGATACTTTTAAAAAAAACAAATGTGCGATTAATTAATATGTGTCTTCTATTTATTTTGGGATTTCGGCAGCCTCACTGTTGGCGTGTATTAGCCTTGTGATTATCTAGTATTGTCTCTGGTTATATTTGTAATTCTCTACTGGTTAGAACGTCTCTTTAAATGTCACTCTCACATTCCGCGTTGTGAATTTACTTTCAGCTTACTCTTATTATGGTTTCACACAGGAGCAACAATGCAACAGTTTGTTTCTACATTTTATGTCAAGCACTTGATACATAGGTTACAAGCATAGGTTACATTACAATACCCCTAACTCGCAGATCGAGTTTTCTGATGAACCAGTTACATCATATGGCTCTACCACAAATCAACAGGGTCTACTCAGTCCAGATGGCATCTCTTGAACCTCAACGGTCTCTCCCACCGAATCTACATGGGATCTGCTTCCACAAGAGTCTGAAGCGTGTCTTCTCTCTAAAAGAATCTACATGGTGTCTAATCTAAAGCCACACAGGTCTGGCGTTTTCTATGCCTGGACTTATGCTATTAGTTATTTAATTGGTCAAATATTACATAATTAATTATGATGATTGGTTACTAAGCCTAATGAAGTAATGGTAATATTCCTATCATAAGTATCTGGACCAATGAATTTATCCTTGTACCTAGACCCCATGTCCTGTTATTCTTACAATATTTTGACAATGGAGGAAACAGATATTGTATGTATTTATCAAATTATAATTCATGTCCTCTGGTGTACTTATATTCGCCTAATGTAACTTCGCATAAGTTGCCAAATCGTATTGCATATTGCAGTATCAAAAATTATTGCCAATAAAATTTACATAATCCAATATATTGATTTAGTTAAACACAAAACTTATGGTCGGTGAAGTGTCAAAAGGGTGTATCTAAGAATTTCTAAAGATTAAGAAATAGAACCTTTTGCATTTCAAAATTTCCACAAATCAACATTTGAACACATGATACCCAGAATAGTTCAAATTGGCATAGACTGAAATACACAGCTTAGAAAGAAATGTGCATATTAATTGGGAGATTTTAAAAATGCAAAAAAGTGTATTTGACTAATTTCTCGAGATACACCCTTTTGACACATCACCGACGTTATGCTTTAATATGAAGTATGAATTCTTATGTATGACCAATCTGATTTATATATTGGATTATTGTGGTATTTTTGATGGTAAAAAAAAGAATTTCAATAAAATTTACATATTGCGATATATTGATTTATTGAAATTTATTGTCCAGCCCTATGCATGTGTCTGTTCACATTTCATTTGTGGACGCTGTACAGGTCACAAATTTTATCTGATTTTGACGAACCATGAACATAAAGTATAGGTTTATATCCCAAAGATCGTGGTTCATTTTGATATTGTCATGGATCGGACCATAACTTCCTGGATTATGGCCCTGATTGTACGAAAAATCATGTTTTTAGCTTGTAGACCAATTCAAAACAAAAAACGTTGAATATCATGAATATTGGACCAGAACTTTCTGCCAAAATGGCTCTCCCCTTTATGTAAAAATTGTAAAAGCATGTTATAACCAGGCTGTGGACCCTCTAGAGGTATTTTTTCTCCGATTTTGATGAAACTTAAAATATATGTTTATGTCCCAAAGTTCCTTTTGATATTGACGCATGTCAGACAGCAACATTGATTATGGCCCCTTATTATACAAAAATCACTTTTTATACGCCGACATTTTCATGTGGATATAAATTGTTGTTGCCCCTGTCCGTCCGTTCTTAATTTGTTTCTGGACACTCTACAGGTCACTTTTTATCTGATTTTGACGAAATTTGAAATATAGGTCTATCTCCCAAAGATCTCAGTTCCTTTCAATATTGGCATACGGATCGGACCATAACTTCATGGATTATGATGCCTGATTGTACGAAAAATCGCGTTTTTAGCTTGTGGACACTCTTAGAGGTCAAAATTTTCATCTGATTTTGATGAAACTTGAAATACGTGTTTATAACCCAAAGATCTTGCTTCCTTTCGATATTCGCTCATATCAAACCGTAACTTCCTGAATTATGGCCCCTAATTGTACGAAAATCTTGTTTTTAGCTTGTGGTCCCTTGAGAGGTCAGAATTATTATCCAATTTAATAAAACATTCGAATATATCACTGCTAGACCGTAATGTTGGTTGAGTTCGAATTTCGTGAAAATCGGACCAAAACTGACGGACAAAATGGCTGCCCCTCGTACGCAAAAAATATGGTATATCAAGGACTGGGGACTCTAGTGGCCACAATTTTTATCCAATTTTTGATAAAACTTTAAATTTATGTTTTTATCTTGCATTATGACCCCTGATTGTTCGAAAAATCACATTTTTTGCTTGTGGACCCACTAGAAGTCACAATTTGTATTCAATTTTAAAATCTGTTTAAATATATCACCATTACACATCATTGAAGGTTGAGTTTGAATTTCCTAAATATCTGATAGTGTAAATAGTGTAAAAGTATGTAATACCAAGGTTGTGGACACTCTAGATCGTGATTCCTTTATATATTTGTGCATATTGGACTGTAACTTCCTGGATTATGGCCTCTGATTGTACAAAAAATCACATTTTTAGCTCGTGTAGGTCTCAATTTTTAACCAATTTTAAAAAACGTTATCACTGTTACACCCTAATGCCAGTTGAGTTCCCAAAAATTTCGTGAAAATCGGACAAAAACTGCCTGGCAAAATGGCGGCTCCTTGTATGCAAATAGTGTAAAAGTATTTCATACCAATGTTGTGAACCCTCTAGAAGTCACAATTGTTATCCGATTTTGATGATTCTTAAAATACATGTTTATGTCCCAAAGATCTTGGTTCCATTCGCTATTTGCGCATATCAGATTGTAACTTCCTAGATTACGGCCCCTGATTGTCCGAAAAATCATGCTTTTTAGTTTGTGGATTCTCCAGAGGTCACAATTTTTTATCCAATTTTAAAAAAAAACGTTTAAATATATCACTACTCCACCATAATATAATCAAGGGGGAAATCGAAACAAACTACTCGACAAAGTGGCCGATCTTTGTACGCAAAGTGTGTATAATAAGTATAATATGAAGGTGGTGGACCCTTTAGAGGTCACAAATTTTATCCGATTTTGATGAAACTTAAAATATACCTTCAAATCCCAAAAATCTCAGTCCCTATCGATATTTGTGCATTTCAGACCATAACTTTCTGCATTATGGCCCCGATCGTACGAAAAATCGCTTTGTTTTTAGCTAGTTCTCTTGCATTTTGTCAGTCAGTTTTGGTCCGATTTTCACAAAATTCTAAGTCAACCAACATTACGGTCTAGCGGTGATATATTCGAGGGTTTTATTAAATTGGATAATAATTCTGACCTCTCGCGGGACCACAAGCTAAAAACACGATTTTTCGTACAATCAGGGGCCATAATTCAGAAAGTTACATTTGGCTATGCGCGAATATCAAAAGGAACCAAGATCTTTGGGTTATAAACATGTATTTCAAGTTTCATCAAAATCAAATGAAAATTGTGACCTCTAGTGTGTCCACAAGCTAAAAATGTGATTTTTCGTACAATCAGGGGCCATTATCCGTGAAGTTATGGTCCGATACATGCCAAGGAACTGAGATCTTTGGGAGATAGACCTATATTTCAAATTAATTCAAAATCGGATAAAAAGTGTTACCTGTAGAGTGTCCACTAACAAATTCAGGGTTCCCGCGGTCCTTGAAAATCCTTGAATATCCTTAAATTTAAAATTTCATTTTCAAGGTCTTGAATATCCTTGAATTTCGCGGAAATAGGAAAATATCCTTGAATTTCGGTTGAGATCCTTAATTTTTTTTCAAATGTCTTCAATTCCTTTTAAATATCAGATTATAACGATAGTTGGTAATGTTTTGGTTATTTTTAAGATGAAAAATTGTAACTTTTGGCTAAAAAATGTCCTTGAAAATCCTTGAATTTGACAGATATTTATCCTTGAATATCCTTGAAAAAATGTTTGACGAAGCCGCAGGAACCCTGAAATTGTGGACGGTCAGACAGACGGACGGACGGACAGGGGCGACGACAATATATATCCACATGAAAATGTGGGCGTATAAAAAGTGATTTTTGTATAATAAGGGGCCATAATCAATGTTGCAGTCCGACATGCGTCAATATCAAAAGGAACTTTGGGACATAAACATTAAGTTTCATTTGCACATTTCAGACCGTAACTTTCTGGATTATGGCCCCTGATCGTACGAAAAATCGCTTTGTTTTTAGCTTGTTCTCTTGCAAAATGTGGGCGTACCTTGCCTGGCAGCCGCTGGTTTAGCTTGTTCTCTGTCCATCTCTTGCAATATGTGAGCATATTTTTCATGGCAATCGCTTGTTAGTTCTTGTTTTTGTTTGTTACGTTTAAATAAAGAAAATAGTTAACAGCTTCTAACTGTGTTGTATGTCTGTTTTAGCTTGAGCACAATTCATTCGTTCATGAAATTGTTTAAAATTTCTGCATTGATTATCATCCACATTTATGGTGTCTTAGTTACAAAATGTAATAATATTAATAGTCCTACAATATTGTGTACAGGCCAGCTAATACATCAGCAAGTTTTCTTATATTCCAATGTTCTTAAATTCATAAAATGAAACATATTTTTAAGATATATGTTGATATTGTTGGATTTATTTTTTTCAGCCAGTACCAACTCTATCACCTTTTACACGTATTGTAAGAGGACCTGTTATATCAGAAGTTCAAGTATTTACACATACAGTTAATCACGTTGTTCGACTTATTAATTCACCAGGTATTATTTGAATTCTTTTTATAGAAACAGCTGTATGTTTACAGCCATGTTACTGTGTATATTCTATATTAGTATAAGTGTATACAGATTAATAACTATAACTATAAAGGTTTATTATTTTTAGATATGAACTTGTACATCAAAGAAATCAGGATCATAGATTTAGAAAAATTTCATTCTAAAAAAGATATTTTAGAAAAATTATCATATTTTTTTATATGTCCAGGTTTGGATGTATATTTAAGTCATCACCTTTGTCAGTCCACAATTTATTTTGAGCCGAGGTCAGAGTTTACAAACCCATGAAATCATGTGAATGCAATACAAATTACAAAGAAATTGCTATCATTGCAATTTATTGACTTGCTTTAATTAATACTGTAGCTAGCAAAAGATTCTTTGCAGCTGGTAGGTGTAATAAGAGGCATGACAAGCCTGTCAGTATTGTGATAAATATATGATATAGATGTTGTTTACAAATACTATAGATAACGATGTTATAGTTAATGTACTTAGGGTCAATCTGTAAATATATTATAGATGTGGTTGACAGGTATGTGATGTTTAGTGCTCCTACAGTTATGACTTTTTGTTAATCGAATAACCGTAGCTATTAACCTGTTAGTAACCGCTTAAGTGCTTGGTATCAATTTTCAACATAAAACCAAATTTGTCAGGTGGTGCGAATCATTACACGCGCACACGCTATAATCGTCTAAAAGGCATTACTCGCACAAAAATTCCGGGAAACTTTTCATAGAACTGTATAATTCTTTAATGAGGCCACAATTTTTATTCGAATTGGTTTAAACTTGAAATGTATGTTTATAACCCACAGATCTCAGTTCCTTTCGATATTCACGCGTATCGGACCATAACTTCCTGAATTATGACCCCTGATTGTACGAAAAATCGTGTTTTTAGCTTGTGGTCACTTTAGAAGTCACAGTTTTTATCCGATTTAAAAAAAACGTTTAAATATATCACCGTAAGGTTGGTTAAGTTTGAATTTTGTGAAAATCAGACCAAAACTGCTGGACAAAATGGCTGCCCCTTGTACAATCATGGGCCATAATTCAGGAAGTTATGGTCCGATATGCGCAAATATCGAAAGGAACCGAGATTGTACGAAAAATCACGTTTTTAGCTTGTGGTCCCTCTAGAGGTCACAATTATTATCCGATTATACATCTGGTATTTCAATTTTGATCCAATTTTGAAGAAACTTGAAATGCAAGTTTATAACCCAAAGATCTCGGTTCCTTTCAATATTTGCGCATATCGGATTGTAACTTCCTGAATTATGGCCCCTGATTGTACGAAAAATGGCCGCCCCTCGTACACAAACAGTGTAAACAACTGGTAAATCAATGTTGTGGACCCTCTAGAGGTCACAGTTTTGATCCGATTTCGATGGTACTTGAAATACATGTTTATAACTCAAAGATATTGGTTCCTTTCGATATTCGCGTATATCGAATTGTGAATTATGGCCCTTGATTGAACAAAAAAATCATGTTTTTAACTTGTGGTCCCTGTAGAGGTCATAATTTTTATCTGATTTAAAAAGAAGTGTGAATATATCACCATTACACACTAAGATTTTGGTTCCTTTTGATAATCGCGGATACCCGAACTTAACTTCCTGGATTATGGCCCCTGATTGTTCGAAAAATCTCATTTTTAGCTTGCGGATTCTCTAGAGGTCACAATTTTTTTCCGATTTTAAAAACTGTTTAAATACATCACCATTCCACCATAATGAAGGATGAATTCGTATTTCGGGAAAATCGAAATGAAACTGCCCGACAAAATGGCCGCTCTTTGTACGCCAATTCTGTAGAAGTGTGTAATACGAAGGTTGTGGACCATCTAGAGGTCACAATTTTTATCCGATTTTGATGAAACTTAAAACATATCTTTATATCCCAAAGATCTCAGTCTCTTTTGATATTTGCACATTTCAGGCCATAACTTTCTGGATTATTGCCCCTGATTGTACAAAAAATCGCGTTTGGTTTTTACCTTGTTCTCTATCCATCTCTTGCAAAATGTGGGCGTATCTTGCCTGACAGCCGCTGGCTAGTTTGTGGATTCTCCGAGGTCACAATTTTTTATCCAATTTTAAAAAAACCGTTTAAATATATCACTATTCCACCATATTGAAGGGAGAAATATAAACAGACTACCAGACAAAATGGCTGCTCTTCGACTTTATACGCAAAGTGTTTTTAAGTATGTAATACGAAGGTGGTGGACCCTCTAGAGGTCACAATTTTTATCTGATTTTGATGAAACTTAAAATATACCTTTATATCTGAAAAATCTCAGTCCCTTTCGATATTTGCACATTTCAGACCACAACTGTCTGGATTATGGCCCCTGATCGTATGAAAAATCGCTTTTCTTTCTAGCTTGTCCTCTATCCATCTTTTGCAAAATGTGGGCGTATCTTGCCTGGCAACCGCTGGTTTAATTCAATATCTATAATAATATACAAGACAATACTCTGTTTCCCGTCGTACATGACATGTGGCGATAATATTACGATTACACAATGTCACTAAGAATAGAATAAAGTAAGGCATTTTATTCATTGGGCAATATAGAAATAACTAAAAACAAAAGTAGAATTCTCACGAGAAATTACAAGATATGAAACCTCATTTTCTAGCCTTTATGATTATATATTTTGAATGGTGGTTACATTTTTATACGCCCACATTTTCATGTAGACGTATATTGCCGTCGCCCCTGTCTGTCCGTCCACAATTGATTTGTGGACACTCAACAGGTCACAACTCTTATCCGATTTTGACGAAACTTGAAATATAGGTTTATCTCCAAAATATCTCGGCTGATTTCGATTTTGGCATTTATCGGATCGAAACTTCAAGGATTATGGTCCCTTTTTGTACGGAGAAACACGTTTTTAGAGTGTGGACACTATAGAGGTCACAATTTTTATCCGATTTTGTTGAAATTCGAAATGTTAGTTTATAACCCAAAGATCTCGGTTCCTTTCGATATTCACACATATCTGACCGTAACTTCCTGAATTATGGCCCCTGATTGTACAAAAAATCGCGTTTTTAGCTTGTGGACCCTATAGAGGTCATAACTTTTATCCGATTTTAAAAAACGTATTATTATATCACCGTTACACCTTAAGGATGGCTGAGTTCGAAAATCGTGATAATCGGCCTAAAACTGACAGACAAAATATCTGCCCTTCGTTCTCAAATAGCGTAAAAATATGGTATATCAAGGTTGTGGACCCTATAGAGGTCACAATTTTAATCCGATTTTGTTGAAACTTAAAATGTAAGTTTATAACACAAAGATCTCGGATCCTTTCGATATTTGCGCATATCAAATTGTAATTTCCTGAATTATGGCCCTTGATTGTAGGAAAAATTGCATTTTTAGCTTGTGGACCCTATAGAGGTCATAATTTTTATCCGATTTAAAAAAACGTTTTAGTATATCACCATTAAACACTAAGGACGGCTGCGTTCGAATTTCAAGAAAATCATCCCAAAACTGACAGACAAGATGGCCGCCTCTCGTTCTCAAATAGCGTAAAAATATGGTATATCAAGGTTGTGGACCCTATAGAGGTCACAATTTTTATCCGATTTTCTTGAAACTTGAAATGTAAGTTTATAACCCAAATATCTCGGTTCCTTTCGATATTTGCGCGTATCGAATTGTAATTTCCTGAATTATGACCCTTGATTGTAGGAAAAATCACTTTCTTTTTAGTTTGTTCTCTATCCATCTCTGGAAAATGTGGGTGTATCCTGCCTGGCAGCCTCTGGTTAAATAAATATTAAACAAGGTAGAATATAGTTAGAAATGTTGAGAAGTATTTGGATTGGATTAACAATGGCAAAAGTCAGAACAAGGTCTGTTGACTTTGCCGTATGACTACTATTAATAGTATTATTTTATAGCACTCAACATCGTAGGGCGACAGTTTCATTCTACAAAAGGACAGCGGCCAACTTTTGTTATGTAATGAGACACAACTCTATGTAATGGTGGACATCTCCGAATAACCATATCGTTCAATTTGAACTGTTTAACTGTCCAATTATAACTGTTGACAGTTATCCGACTAGTGGTATTAGCACTAGTGATGTTATAGTTTACATACTTCAGGTCAATCTATGGATATGGTTGAAATATATAAAATACTAGTTACAGACATTTTTGACAGATAATTATGTTATACTTCAGGTACTGAGGGTCAGTCTGTAGATATGTATAATATAGTTGATATAAGACAGCAGATAGATAAAGAAATAGCTGTAAGAATAACAACGGATATTAAAAATGAAGATCGTGTGTTTTACACTGATTTAAATGGATATCAGGTCTAGTATTTAACGTACTTCATATGCTCGATGTTTCATCAGATTCATACATTCACACTATTAGTATGAAGGCAGTGGGCAGAAATAAATGTATCACTAATGTATCAGAGATCAAGAGGAAACTCAGTATTCCGGCTGTATTTTACTGTTTGTCACTGATTTTTTAAGGGCATTGGTCACATCTGCTGTTCTTATGTTCATTTACCACCAAAATATTCATTCTTAAGTTAGTGGTTGTGAACCCTATGATCACTCCCTGCATTTTACACCTTGTTCCATTGTCGCACCTTTCATGTTAATTAAATTTCTAATTAGGGGTCATTCGGTGCAAACCAACATTATTATCTTTTTAAATACACTGACCACCAGTTGATGATAATGATTTCTGATAATAGATATCATTCCACGCAATTTAGGCTTGGTTTCACACTCTCACCTTTCATGTTGATTAAAATTTTAATTACCGATGGGGGGCAAGTGATATTTTCTTTATTTTTGAGATTATGGCATACTTGTATCTAAAGCTTCATTAATTTTGTATCTCATATTTTTTCTCCTAGCAGTATAAAACATGTCCATGTAGTTTTGTGTAACATACCCGGAATAGATCACATAACAACATAAAAATAGTTCAGAGTAAAATCAAAAAATTGCTACTTTATATCTCCTATTTTTGCTCCTAGGAGTGTAAAACATGTCTATGTAGTTTTGTGTAACATACCTGAAACTGATCACGAGATAACGGAAAAAAAAGTTCTGAGTAAAACCGAAAAATTGCTAATTGGTGACTTTGACCTCTTCTTAAGTAGCCTTTCGGACAGAAATCCCATTCTTATCTTGTATTTCCTAATTCAGGGCCCATTCCTCTATCAAATGCCACTGAAGTGGAACTTGCACCTTCCATGGTGGATAAACCAATTTTGGGGGGTACTATGGGTGGCTCCTCCAGTGGCACAACTTAAGAATTGGGTTTCTGGGATCTCCTATTTCATCCCAAACCTTCCGCACCTTAAATGTTGAACAAAACCCACCTAGCTCCTGTACTATTGGCTATTATAGGAATATATGTATCATTAATGATTGTCATTAGGGAAAAGTATAATTATAGAGGCTAGAAAATGCCATTAAAATAGATTCCTTGTGCCGACATTCTACCCGTTTTCATGTCTCGTAATTTCTCACGAGAATTCTACTTTGGTTTTCAGTTGAATTAACCATCATATAAATTCTACTTTGTATGTAAGGCCAACATTATTTCCTTTTTTGTCTAATCAATAGACACCTATTTTACTTTATTCTATTATTACTAACATTATGTAATCTTAATACTATCGTCATGTCACGTGCGAAGAGAAATGATGTATTGTCTTGTATTTTTTGTAGATATTGAAATATAAAATGATTCAAATGAACAAAGAACAAAACTTGAAATAATACGCTAGTTAGTCCTACAGTTAGCAACTAAGTATTTTACATTAATTAACATTATGGGTCATTTTTTTTAAAATACATCAGAACAGTATTAGATTTAGATAACACTCCTGTAACTCAATGGAAGATTACTGAAAAACATTACTGCTTTGACTTTTCTATGGATATGGAAGATGGAAAAACAGTAAAATAATATAGTGATGTAAAGTATAAGACAATATGAAAATGGAAGCTGAATAAATACCTCATAAATTCTCGAAGTATACTTAGACTTATAAAGCTTTGCACTTTTTAAAAGTAGCCATCTGCTGATGCAAGGTGCTGATGCAAGATTCAAACATAGGTGTTGATTTGGCATGAGGTCGATTGCATCACAGTTTCAAGTAATTTCAACATGAGAAGTAATTTCTATATAGATTTTTACGTCTTTGAGGTTGCTTGAGAGAAATATGTAGAACTGTATCTATATATATATTTATTTCAGATGTCAAGAAGAAAGACATATGATAAACTACCATTACAAGCTAACTTTTATCCTATGCCAGCTATGATGTTTCTGGAAGATTCTAACACAAGATTTAGTGTTTTGTCTGCACAATCATTAGGTTGTTCAAGTTTACAGCAAGGTAAAGTAAAATGAAATGAAATGAAATGGGGTTTAACGTCTTACTGTTCTAGCAAGGTAAAGAAGATAATTGTAGTCTATAAAAGAATAATTATCACTCAGAAAAACATCTACACAATCGTGCTCAGATTTCCATTGACATCGCTGAAAATTCTGAAATATTCCTACTAATTTATTAAAGAATGTACCGATCCTAGTAATGGATCAGTGGATTAAACTCTGATCATCCAATGTAAACCTACTTTCTGTGCACCAGTTGACTTTGAGATGGGTTTTGATTGTTTAACTAAACAATATTTGTGTGTATGAACCATTAATGGTACTTAACGAGAATAGACATTTTGGAGGCGTGATGTCACCACTACACCACTAATTAATCTATTAATTAATTATTGGAGATACCTAATGATTGACCAGTCCCAATTGTTTTTGTTGTGAATTTTAGTACAGGCCCAATAGATATGACTTGTGTTTGAGCCTACATGTTGTTGGGTTTTTTTTTCTGTCCCAGCTTCTCCACTGTATGCATCTAATGTAATACTTTATTGAAGGAGGTAAGAAAGAAATGGAAATAAAAATTTAAATGAAATACTTATGGTTACATGTCATTAACTGTTTTGTAGGAGTGATGGAAGTAATGATGGACAGACGATTATCTCATGATGATTCTAGAGGATTAGGGGAGGGGGTTAAAGATAATAAAGCCACACCAAATAGATTTAAATTTTTGATAGAAAGCAGAAAGGGTTCTAAACCAGTGAGTATAGGGCTGAAACGATGTACATGTAGTGTGGCACGATATGATACAGTATCATGTCCTAGCCCAACGATACATTAATAGATCAAATAAAATTAATATTTAACCAATTTTACTCAGATTGAATCAAAATACACAATCTTTGACACAAAATTAAGTATACAATCACACAGACAATAAAGTCAAGTCAAGCAAAAGTCAGGTACACATACACAAAGAATCCTGAATACCATAACTGGGTATGACATATTTTGAAGACTGAAATTTCTTTATTGACATTCCTGTTGCTGTTTACGTAGGTAACAGAAAAACCAAAATGGTCCCACACTTTAGATCGGTAAGATGCAGGTAGTTTTTCGATCTCAACTTCACACAGTGTAATTACTCCTGGACGTGGACATAATAATAGTCAAAAGAAAAATACTGCTGAAAGTTAAAAAAAAATGTTTTAGCTCTTTTCGTAAGTGTCAAATGCGATGTAAAATTTATGGCTTCCGTTATTTTGTCCAATGGAAAATGTCTTATCAAGTTCCTGGGTTGTATTTTGCACGAGATTAGTACGTCAGTTTTTGCAATGATATGAAGTCTTGATGGCCGGGACATATCACTATTCTACACTGTGATTTTTCTTTACATGGAACTGATAGGTAATTGCTATACATCCTACCGCCTAATTTATTGAAAAATATTGCGATACAATGTGAAATATACCGTAAACCTCATATTGAAAACCAGCGGATGCCAGGCAGGATACGCCCACATTTTCCAAGAGATTGATAGAGAAGAAGCTAAAAACAAACAGTATTTTTTGTACAATCAGGGGCAATAATCCAGAATGTTATGGTCTGAAATGTGCAAATATCAAAAGGGACTGAGAACTTTGGGATATAAAGATATCATCAAAATCGGATAAAAATTGTGACCTCTAGAGGGTCCACAACCTTCGTATCGCATACTTTTTATACGCCCACATTTTCATGTGGACGTATTATGCCGTCGGCCCTGTCCGTCCGTCCGTCCACAATTGTTTGTGGACACTCTACAGGTCACAATTCTTATCCGATTTTGACGAAACTTGAAATATAGGTTTATCTCCAAAATATCTCGGCTGCTTTCGATATTGGCATGTATCGGATCGAAACTTCATGGATTATCGCCCCTGTTTGTACGAAAAATCACGTTTTTAGCTTGTGGACACTATAGAGGTCACAATTTTTATCCGATTTTGTTGAAACTTGAAATGTAAGTTGATAACCCAAAGATCTCGGTTCCTTTCGATATTTGCGCATATCGGACCGTAACTTCCTGAATTATGGCCCCTGATTGTACAAAAAATCACGTTTTTAGCTTGTGGACCCTATAGAGGTCATAATTTTTATCCGATTTAAAAAAACGTTTTATTATATCACCGTTACACCCTAAGGATGGCCGAGTTCGAATTTTGTGAAAATCGGCCCAAAATTGACAGACAAAATGGCCGCCGTTTGTTCTCAAATAGCGTAAAAATATGGTATATCAAGGTTGTGGACCCAATAGAGGTCACAATTATTATCCGATTTTGTTGAAACTTAAAATGTAAGTTTATAACCCAAAGATCTCCGTTCCTTTCGATATTCGCGCATATTGGACCGTAACTTCCTGAATAATGGCCCCTGATTGTACGAAAAATCGTGTTTTTAGCTTGTGGACCCTATAGAGGTAATAATTTTTATCCGATTTAAAAAAACGTATTATTATATCACCGTTACACCCTAAGGATGAATGAGTTCGAATTTCATGAAAATCGGCCCAAAATTGACAGACAAATAGCGTAAAAATATGGTATATCAAGGTTGTGGACCCTATAGAGGTCAGAATTTTTATCCGATTTTGTTGAAACTTGAAATGTAAGTTTATAACCCAAAGATCTCGGTTCCTTTCGATATTCGCGCATATCGAACCGTAACTTCCTGAATTATGGCCCCTGATTGTACGAAAAATCATGTTTTTAGCTTGTGGACCCATTAGAGGTCATAATTTTTATCCGATTTAAAAAAACGTATTATTATATTACCGTTCCACCCTAAGGCCAGTTGAGTTTGAATTTTGTGAAAATCGCCCCAAAATTGACAGTCAAAATGGCCGCCGTTCGTTCTCAATTAGCGTAAAAATATGGTATATCAAGGTTGTGGACCCTATAGAGGTCACAATTTTTATCCGATTTTGTTGAAACTTGAAATGTAAGTTTATAATCCAAAGATCTCGGTTCTTTTCAATATTCGTGCATATCGGACCGTAACTTCCTGAATTATGGCCCCTGATTGTACGAAAAATCGCTTTCTTTTTAGCTTGTTCTCTATCCATCTCTCGAAAATGTGGGCGTATCCTGCCTGGCAGCCGCTGGTATACAATTTGCGTATAAAGAGCGGACATTTTGTCGGACAGTTTCATTTCGTTATTTCGAAATTCAAATTCAACATTCATTATGGTGGAATGATGATATATTTAAACGGTTTTTAAAATCCGAATTCCATCAAAATAACGGTGTAATGGTGATATATTCGAACCATTTTTTTTAAATCGGATAATAATTGTGAGCTCTAGAGGGATCACAAGCTAAAAGCGCGAATTTTCGTACAATCAGGGGCCATAATTCAGGAAGTTACGGTCCGATATGCGTGAATATCGAAAGGAACCGAGATCTTTAGGTTATAAATTTATATTTCAAGTTTCAACAAAATCGAATAAAAATTTGGGCCTCTATAGCGTCCAAAAGCTACAAACGCAATTTTTCAAACAATCAGGGGCCATAATCCATGAAGTTACGGTTCAATACATGCCATTATCGAAAGGAATTGAGATCTTAGGGAGATCAACCTATATTTCTACGCCCACATTTTTATGTTGAGGTATATTGTCATCGCCCCTGTCCGTCCGGACGTCCGTCTGTCCACAATCGAATAAAAATTTGGGCCTCTATAGCATCCAAAAGCTACAAACGCAATTTTTCAAACAATCAGGGGCCATAATCCATGAAGTTACGGTTCGATACATGCCATTATCGAAAGGAATTGAGATCTTAGGGAGATCAACCTATATTTATAAGCCCACATTTTTATGTTGAGGTATATTGTCGTCGCCCCTGTCCTTCCGGACATCCGTCTGTCCACAATTTAGGTCATTATTTTTATCCGAATATATCACCGTTACACCCTAAGGATGGTTGAGTTCGAATTTCGTTAAAATCGGACCGAAACTGAGGGACAAAATGGCCGCGCCTCGTTGGCAAATAGTGTCACAATATTGTGTCACAGGGTTGTGGACTCTCTGGAGTTCACAATTTTCATCTGATTTTCATGAAATTTGAAATGCATGTTTATAACCCACAGATCTCGGTTCCTTTCGATATTCGCGTATATCGGACCGTAACTTCCTGAATTATGGCCCCTGATTGTACGAAAATTCGCGCTTTTAGCTTGTGATCCCTCTAGAGCTCACAATTACCATCAAGATCAAGATTCATCAATTAATGCCCAGTTTGTGCTACCGTTTAGTTTAAGAAACACCATTTAGTTTTGACATCGGTCATCTAGTTTATGACCATTTTAGTTTAGTTTTGATATTGGTCATCCATTTTATGACCATTTAGTTTCATAAACTAGACAACCGATGTCAAACTAAATGGTAGCACAAACTGGGTGGTTTTTGATGAATCTTGATGGTATTTAACACTTTCTGCATGGCAATCTATTAACTGAATATGTGTATTAGATTATAGATGGTAAGCTCAGTTTCTTTCCTTTTTTCATCAAATCTTTACATGGAACTGATAGGTAATTGCTATACATCCTACCGCCTAATTTATTGAAAAATATTGCGATACAATGTGAAATATACCGTAAACCTCATATTGAAAACCAGCGGATGCCAGGCAGGATACGCCCACATTTTCCAAGAGATTGATAGAGAAGAAGCTAAAAACAAACAGTATTTTTTGTACAATCAGGGGCAATAATCCAGAATGTTATGGTCTGAAATGTGCAAATATCAAAAGGGACTGAGAACTTTGGGATATAAAGATATCATCAAAATCGGATAAAAATTGTGACCTCTAGAGGGTCCACAACCCTGTCCGTCCGTCCGTCCACAATTGTTTGTGGACACTCTACAGGTCACAATTCTTATCTGATTTTGACGAAACTTGAAATATAGGTTTATCTCCAAAATATCTCGGCTGCTTTCGATATTGGCATGTATCGGATCGAAACTTCATGGATTATCGCCCCTGTTTGTACGAAAAATCACGTTTTTAGCTTGTGGACACTATAGAGGTCACAATTTTTATCCGATTTTGTTGAAACTTGAAATGTAAGTTGATAACCCAAAGATCTCGGTTCCTTTCGATATTTGTGCATATCGGACCGTAACTTCCTGAATTATGGCCCCTGATTGTACAAAAAATCACGTTTTTAGCTTGTGGACCCTATAGAGGTCATAATTTTTATCCGATTTAAAAAAACGTTTTATTATATCACCGTTACACCCTAAGGATGGCCGAGTTCGAATTTTGTGAAAATCGGCCCAAAATTGACAGACAAAATGGCCGCCGTTCGTTCTCAAATAGCGTAAAAATATGGTATATCAAGGTTGTGGACCCTATAGAGGTCAGAATTTTTATCCGATTTTGTTGAAACTTGAAATGTAAGTTTATAACCCAAAGATCTCGGTTCCTTTCGATATTCGCGCATATCGAACCGTAACTTCCTGAATTATGGCCCCTGATTCTACGAAAAATCGCGTTTTTAGCTTGTGGACCCTATAGAAGTCATAATTTTTATCCGATTTAAAAAAACGTATCATTATATCACCGTTACACCCTAAGGACGAATGAGTTCGAATTTCATGAAAATCGGCCCAAAATTGACAGACAAAATGGCCGCCGTTCGTTCTCAAATAGCGTAAAAATATGGTATATCAAGGTTGTGGACCCTATAGAGGTCACTTGAAATGCATACATGTTTAAAACCCACAGATCTCGGTTCCTTTCGATATTCGCGCATATCGGACCTTAACTTCCTGAATTATGGCCCCTGATTGTACGAAAAATCATGTTTTTAGCTTGTGGACCCATTAGAGGTCATAATTTTTATCCGATTTAAAAAAACGTATTATTATATTACCGTTCCACCCTAAGGCCAGTTGAGTTTGAATTTTGTGAAAATCGCCCCAAAATTGACAGTCAAAATGGCCGCCGTTCGTTCTCAATTAGCGTAAAAATATGGTATATCAAGGTTGTGGACCCTATAGAGGTCACAATTTTTATCCGATTTTGTTGAAACTTGAAATGTAAGTTTATAATCCAAAGATCTCGGTTCTTTTCAATATTCGTGCATATCGGACCGTAACTTCCTGAATTATGGCCCCTGATTGTACGAAAAATCGCTTTCTTTTTAGCTTGTTCTCTATCCATCTCTCGAAAATGTGGGCGTATCCTGCCTGGCAGCCGCTGGTATACAATTTGCGTATAAAGAGCGGACATTTTGTCGGACAGTTTCATTTCGTTATTCCCGAAATTCAAATTCAACATTCATTATGGTGGAATGATGATATATTTAAACGGTTTTTAAAATCCGAATTCCATCAAAATAACGGTGTAATGGTGATATATTCGAACCATTTTTTTTAAATCGGATAATAATTGTGAGCTCTAGAGGGATCACAAGCTAAAAGCGCGAATTTTCGTACAATCAGGGGCCATAATTCAGGAAGTTACGGTCCGATATGCGCGAATATCGAAAGGAACCGAGATCTTTAGGTTATAAATTTATATTTCAAGTTTCAACAAAATCGAATAAAAATTTGGGCCTCTATAGCGTCCAAAAGCTACAAATGCAATTTTTCAAACAATCAGGGGCCATAATCCATGAAGTTACGGTTCAATACATGCCATTATCGAAAGGAATTGAGATCTTAGGGAGATCAACCTATATTTCTACGCCCACATTTTTATGTTGAGGTATATTGTCATCGCCCCTGTCCGTCCGGACGTCCGTCTGTCCACAATCGAATAAAAATTTGGGCCTCTATAGCATCCAAAAGCTACAAACGCAATTTTTCAAACAATCAGGGGCCATAATCCATGAAGTTACGGTTCAATACATGCCATTATCGAAAGGAATTGAGATCTTAGGGAGATCAACCTATATTTATAAGCCCACATTTTTATGTTGAGGTATATTGTCGTCGCCCCTGTCCTTCCGGACATCCGTCTGTCCACAATTTAGGTCATTATTTTTATCCGAATATATCACCGTTACACCCTAAGGATGGTTGAGTTCGAATTTCGTTAAAATCGGACCGAAACTGAGGGACAAAATGGCCGCGCCTCGTTGGCAAATAGTGTCACAATATTGTGTCACAGGGTTGTGGACTCTCTGGAGTTCACAATTTTCATCTGATTTTCATGAAATTTGAAATGCATGTTTATAACCCACAGATCTCGGTTCCTTTCGATATTCGCGTATATCGGACCGTAACTTCCTGAATTATGGCCTCTGATTGTACGAAAATTCGCGCTTTTAGCTTGTGGACCCTATAGAGGTCATAATTTTTATCCGATTTAAAAAAACGTTTTATTATATCACCGTTACACCCTAAGGACGGCTGAGTTCGAATTTCGTGAAAATCGACCCAAAACTGACAGACAAAATGGACGCCCTTCGTTCTCAAATAGCATAAAAATATGGTATATCAAGGTTGTTGACCCTGTAGAGGTCATAATTTTAAACCGATTTTGTTGAAACTTGAAATGTAAGTTTATAACCTAAAGATCTCGGTTCCTTTCGATATTCGTGCATATTGAACCGTAACTTCCTGAATTATGGCCCATGATTGTACGAAAATTCGCATTTTTATCCGATTTTGTTGAAACTTGAAATGTAAGTTTATAACACAAAGATCTCGGTTCCTTTCGATATTTGCGCATATCGAATTGTAATTTCCTGAATTATGGCCCTTGATTGTAGGAAAAATCACTTTCTTTTTAGCTTGTTCTCTATCCATCTCTCGAAAATGGGCGTATTCTGCCTGGCAGCCGCTGGTTTAGCTTGTGGTCCCTCTGGAGGTCACAATTATTATCCGATTTAAAAAAACGTTGGATTATATCACCGTTACACCGTAAGGAAGGTTGAGTTCGAATTTCATGAAAATCGGACCAAAATTGACAGACAAAATGGCCGCCTTTTGTACGTGAATAGTGTAAAAATATGGTATATCAAGGTTGTGGATCCTATAGAGGTCACAATTTTGATCTGATTTTGTGATACGTCCACATTGAAATGTGGACGTATATTGCCCCCGTCCGTCGGTCGGTCGGTCCGTCCATCGTCCACAATTTCTTGTGAACGCTCTAACGCCAAAAGTTATCATCCAATTGTTTTAAAATGAATATATGTTGTTTACATTAGTGAGATAAAGAAGCCTATTTAATTTCAATAATTTCTGTTTATTATGTCTAGAGTTATGGCCCTTGTTTCACTTTATTGAACCTTATCATCCGATCTTTCTGAAATTTATATGCATTATTTAGATTACTGGAACGAAGAAGCCTATTAAATTTCAGCAATTTCCGTTTATTATGTCTAGAGTTATGGCCCTTGTTTCACTTTATTGAACCTTGTGAACGCTCCAACGCCAAAAGTTATGCATTATTTAGATTAGTGAAACGAAGAAGCCTATTGAATTTCAGCAATTTCCGTTTATTACGTCTAGAGTTATCGCCCTTGTTTCACTTTATTGATCCTTGTGAACGCTCTAACGCCAAAAGTTATCACCCGATCTTTTTGAAATTTATATGCATGATTTAAATTAGTGAAATGAAAAAGCCTATTGAATTTCAGCAATTTACAATAATTACTTCTAGAGTTATTGCCCTTGTTTCATTTTGTTAAACCTTGTTAATGCTTGATTGATGAAAGTTATCATCCGATATGTATGAAATTTATATGCATTATTTAAAAGCATGTCAAATTTTAACAATTTCTGTAGATTACTTCCAGAGTTGAGACCCTTGTTTCAGTTTTTAGAACCTTGTAAACCCTCAAACGACAAAATTTATAATCTGATCTGTATGTTAAGGCCCCCAATTACCTACAAAGGAATAAAAATGCGACAACCCTTGTCGACCGCTCGGACGATTTAGCTGCTGTGGGCGTATGTTTTGTTGCCTGGCAACCTATCTTTGAAACTTAAAATGTAAGTTTATAACCCAAAGATCTCAGTTCCTTTCGATATTTGCGCATATCGGATCGTAACTTTCTGAATTATGGCCCCTGATTGTACAAAAAATTGCGTTTTTAGCTTGAGGTCCCTCAAGAGGTCACAATTATTATCCAATTTAAAAAAACGTTTGAATATATCACTTTTACATCCTAAGGATGGTTGAGTTTGAATTTCGTGAAAATCGGACCAAAACTGACAGACAAAATGGCCGCCTCTAATACTCAAATAGCGTAAAAATATGGTATATCAAGGTTGTGGACCCTCTAGAGGTGACAAATTTCTTTTGATTTTGATAAAACTTGAAATGTAAGTTTATAACCCAAAGATCTTTGTTCCTTTTGATATTTGCGCATATCGGATCGTAAATTCCTGAATTATGGCCCCTGACTGACAGAATGGCCAATCCTTGTACGCAAATAGTGTAAAAGTATGTAATACCAAGGTTGTGGACCCTCTAGAAGTCACAATTTTGATCTGATTTTGATGAAACTTAAAATATATCTTTATATCCCAAATATCTCAGTCCCTTTCGATATTCACGCATTTCAGACCAGAACTTCCTGGCTTATGGCCCCTGATTGTACGAAAAATCGTTTTTTTTTTTTTAGCTTGTTCTCTATCCATCTCTTGTAAAATATGGGCATATCTTGCCTGGCAACTGCTGGTTAGGCGTTTATATAACTTACAAACTGTTGTATCCAAGTTTTAAGTGGAAAGAATGACATTAAAAACTGAGATGATTCATATACGTCTTTGTTTATAAAATTGTTCAGATTATGATGACAACCTGTTATTAATTTTATTTTTTATAAAGATTTATTTCTGTTTAATGAACTTTAATTTTTTTTTATTTTTTTCAGCCCAGTAAAACAGAGTTACGTTTCCCGTCATTACTAGGTCATTTAACTTCAGCTCACATGCTGGGCTCTTTCTTTGTTTTACCTCAATATAAAAATTCGAAACTCATGGCATTGACAACGTCAGTTAGGCCATTAGATGTTGATTTACCATGTGAATTATATATGCTTAATTTACGAACTATGCAAAATAAAGATGATAGTGATGCATTAAAATATGTACCAAAAGAAACAGCTGCTATGATATTACATAGATATGGTATAGATTGTTCTTATCCAGCTAAAAGTTTAACTTGTTATACGAATGGGGGAAAGGTGAGTCGGTATTCACATAAATTACAGGGTAATGTCCATTATTAACTTGTGTTTTAGTCCATCGGTCCGGTCCAACAATCAGTTGTTTGCCCAACGTAAACAGAATATATTTTTGAATTCGTCCTCAGAACTACTAGTACTAATGGTATTTTCATCAAATTTTGTATAGTGTACGTTGGTAGTAGGGATTTAAATTTGATCATATGAATAACTTTTGTGCCCCATGGATATAAGTTGGAATTATTCTTAATCGGGGGGTTGGCCTCTTTTCCTGATATGCCATCTTGTGTAGTTTCTTGTTTAAATTTTGTTAAAAGCGATTTTGGTGGGCATATATAGGGGACCTGACAAGCCCCTGTCGTATTATTTTCTTTGTTTGACTGCTGCATGTACATGTTTTATTTATTTGAATAATCTTTATTCTTCAGGTGGCTTTTGCTAAAATATTTAATGATTTAAAAATGCTGGAGGTAAAGTCTATGTCTTTGACTCTCATGTATGAAAGAGAAAATTTAGACATGGAAGCACTCACAACTGTTAAACCAATGGAGATAAATACATTCAAAGTAACATTCCGTTCATCTGAAACTTAGATTGATTAAAACTATGTCAGGTGTTTCATATTTTAAAATTTTAACCAGTCATCATCATTATCTTAGAATTTATTTCACTAAACAAGGTATGAAAATATACATAACCACCAATTTTTCAATGAAAACATTACAGTATGATTTTTATAAGCCATTTTGTAAAAATGGGCTATTGGTGAATACCTTTGTACATCATAATTAGCCTGGCTATCTTTTTTGTTTTTGTCAATTTAACCCTGGTACATGTAAATATTGACTTCCCTAGTAACTTATAGAAAATTAGAGAAAAGTGATATATATAATAATACCAGCACATCCCTGTATAGACCAAAACGGCAGTTCCTTAGACCACCTCAAACCGTTATTTGAATAGCTTTCCCTATTATATATAGGAACATTTTGTGAGCTACATATATGCATGTGACAGAGTGGTTTAAGGAGCCCAAGTAACAATGGTTTCGGGTAATGAGTAATAAACTCCAGTTCATTTTATGTGAAAAGACACCTTACCTAGTATATATGTCTTTAAGGCACCTTTTTGATTCACCAAGACTGAACCTAAAGTTAATCTGCCTTGGGACACGGGGCAGAGAGTTTGCTACTTGCATGGATCCATAGTTAACAGTGTAAATGGTTTAGTATGAATTTAATTCAGAAAAAGTTGCTCTTCCTAAATTTGTAATAAATCCAGACCTTTGAAACACTTGTTTTTTTAAAACAACCATAACTGTGGTTTTTGAGGGGGAGGGGGTGTGATGGGCAAATAGTAAGATGCTTTTTATACGCTCACATTTTCATGTGGACGTATTATGTTGTCGCCCCTGTCCTATTTGTTTGTGGAGTATATATTGTCGTCGCCCCTGTTCGTCTGTCCGTCAACAATTGTTTGTGAACACTCTACAGGTCACAATTATAGGTTTATCACCCTAAGATCTCGCTTCCTTTTGATATTGGCATGTATCGGAGTGTAACTTCATGGATTATGGCCCTTGATTGTACGAAAAATCACGTTTTTAGCTTGTGAACACTGTAGAGGTCACAATTTTTATCCGATTTGGTTTAAACTTGAAATATATGTTTATAACCCAAAGATCTCAGTTCATTTCGATATTCGCACATATCGGACCATAACTTCCTGAATTATGGCCCCTGATTGTACGGAAAAATCGCGTCATAAATTTTATCCGATTTAAAAAAACATTTTAATATATCACCGTTACACCCTAAGGATGGCCGAGTTTGAATTTGGAGAAAATCGGACCAAAACTAACTGACAAAATGGCCGCCCATCGTTCTAAAATAGGGTAAAAATATGGTATATCAGGGTTGTGGCCCCTATAGAGGTCACAATATTTATCCGATTTTGTTGAAACTTGAAATGTAAGTTTATAACCCAAAGATCTCAGTTCCTTTCGATATTTGCGTATATCGGACCGTAACTTCCTGAATTATGGCCCCTGATTGTACGAAAAATCGCGTTTTTTAGCTTGTGGACCCTATAGAGGTCATAATTTTTATCCGATTTAAAAAAACGTTTTAGTATATCCCCATTACACCCTAAGGATGGTTGAGGTCGAATTTTGTGAAAATCGGACCAAAACTGACTGACAAAATGGCCGCCCATCGTTCTCAAATAGCGTAAAAATATGGTATATCAAGGTTGTGGACCATATAGAGGTCACAATATTTATCCGATTTTGTTGAAACTTGAAATGTAAGTTTATAACCCAAAGATCTCAGTTCCTTTCGATATTCGCGCATATCGAACCGTAACTTCCTGAATTATGGCCCCTGATTGTACGAAAAATCGTGTTTTTAGCTTGTGGACCCTTTAGCGGTCACAATTTTTATCCGATTTAAAAAAAACGTTTGAATATATCACCGTTATTCCCTGAGGATGGTTGAGTTTGAATTTTGTAAAAATCGAACCAAAACTAACAAAATGGCCACGCCTCGTAGTCAAATAGCGTAAAAATATGGTATATCAATGTTGTGGACCCTGTAGAGGTCACAATTTTAATCAGATTTTGATGAAACTTCAAAGGCATGTTTATAACCCAAAGATTTTGGTTGCTTTCGATATTCATGCATATTGGATCGTAACTTCCTGAATTATGGCCCCTGATTGTACGAAAAATAGTGTTTTTAGCTTGGGGTCGCTCTAGAGGTCGCAATTATTATCCGATTTAAAACACTGTTTGTATATATCACCGTTACACCGCAATGAAGTTTGAGTTCGAATTTCATGAAAATCGGATCAAAACTGCCTGACAAAATGCCCGCCCCTTGTACTCATATAGTGTAAACACCTGGTATATTAAGGCTGTGGACCCTCTGGAGGTCACAATTTTGTGTCGATTTTGATGAAACTTGAAATGCATGTTTATAATCCAAAGATCTTGGTTGCTTTCGATATTCGCGCATATCGGATCATAACTTCCTGAATTATGGCCCCTGATTGTACGAAAAATAGTGTTTTTAGCTTGTGGTCCCTCAAGAGGTCACAATTATTTATTGATTAAAAAAAACGTTCGAATATATCGCCCTTACACCATTATGATGGCTGAGTTAGAATTTCGTGGAAATCGGACCAAAACTGTGTACAATCGTTAACATGCCCATAATCTTGTTGTTTATGTGTGATTTACATTGTCACTTTGTAAAGTGCCTCTGAACATGTTATATGAAAGGGTGCACTATAAATATGCTGTAATAATAGTAATAATAATAATATCAAGGTTGTGAATCCTCTAGAGGCCACAATTTTGATCAGATTTTGATGAAACTTGAAATACATATTTATAACCCAAAGATCTTGGTTCCTTTCATTATTCGCGCATATCGGATCGTAACTTCCTGAATTATGGCCCTTGATTGTACAAAAAATCGCATTTTGAGCTTGTGGCAGTTTTGGCTTGTGGTCCCTCTAGAGGTCACAATTTTTATCCGATTTATAAAAAAAACGTGTGAATATATCACAGTTATCGATATAATGACTGAGTTCGAATTTCGTGAAAATTGGACAAAAATTGTATGCAAATAGTGTAAAAATATGGTATATCAAGGTTGTGGCCACAGTTTTTATCCGATTTGGATGAAACTTTAAATATATGTTTTATTATAAAGATCTTGGTTCCTGTTGATAATCACACATATCCGAACGTAACTTCCTGGATTATGGCCTCTGATTGGTCGAAAAATCACATTTTTAGCTTGTGGCAGTTGTGGATTCTCTAGAAGTCACAATTTTTTTCCCGATTTTAAGAAACATTTAGATATATCACCATTCCACCATAATGAAGGTTGAATTAGAATTTTTGGAAAATCAAAATGAAACTGTCCGACAAAATGTCTGCTCTAGTCTTTGTACACGAATTGTGTATAAGTATGTAATACAAAGGTTATGGACCCTCTGGATGATACTTAAAACATATCTTTATATTCCAAAAATCTCATTCTCTTTTGATATTTGCACATTTAAGACCATAACTTTGTGGATTATGGCGCCTGATTGTACAAAAAATAATTTTTGTTTTTAGCTTGTTCTCTATCTCTTGCAAAATGTGGGCGTATCCTGCCTGGCAGCTGCTGGTTTTTGTTTAGATTGTTCTCTATCCATCTCTTGCAAAATGTGGGTGTATCTTGCCTGGCAACCCCTGGTAACTAAACCATAAAATTTTGATTTGCTGATTTTATTTCTAGCCTGTTGAGCAAAACAGTATGGATGACAGTAAGCCTAACAAACCAAGGCCTTTTTGTCATTATAGCATACAAGTTATCATTACTCGAACCTAATGTTTAGTATGTAGTTAGAAATTATACAGTAATTAATAAGTAGGTGTACAGCTAGCTGTAAAAGATGCCACTTTTAGTGTGAAAGTGTGACTAATTATAATACCCCAATCTTATTAAAACACAGATCCTATTTCGTTTCGTTTTTTAAAGTTCAAAATTTTGTTTTACTTGTCTTCACAAAACTAGGATCTGGAAGAGTTGTTATATAACTCGCGGACTGGTTGATATGCAGGATTAGCCAATGAAACGGTCTGTTACAGCAACTTCTGGGTGTGTGATTAATCAATGTATGATGTCATAGGGTCAAAAGCCACTCGTACAACCCCATACTCGACCTTCCACTACAACCGGTCAGATCTTCATTTAGTGTAGGCCCTCGAAAGTATAAAAAAACGAAACAAAATATAGATTTGTATTTTAATCAGATTGATATATACCCATCACTATTGAATACACAAACCTAACCAATAGTGGTGTATAAAATTCAATAGTCACAGTTTTAATACTACTGCTTGATTACTAACAATGACTAAATAATAAACGTTATGTATATAAAATGACTCTTTAGATCTCTTTGTGTCGTAGATTTTCATTTATTAAAGTTATTTGTTCATAAGTCAAGAATTGTCTATTTATAATTCGCACTACATTCGTCCATCATGAAATAAGGGGAAATAATTACTAGCCTGAGACTGTATGTTTTTGTAAGACTTATTGCATTTTGAGTCAACAAAACCTATATAAATAATGCCCTGGCTAATATAGATATTAATGGGGCATTATGTAATATTTAGATAAAGAGCTGGCCATTCTCTCTATAATATTTCAAAAATAGATAATGTAAAATGAATATATTATTATTGTTCGATTTATATAGCGCATCATTACACGTGAAGTGTTTCTAAGCGCATATCACAAACATATACTTCAAACACACAGAAACAATCAAAATCAGGAGAACATAATTAAACACAGCTGCCTGTTAGGCGCTATTATTCAAAGGTTTATATCTAACAAATCAACCGGCTAATCTCTATATTGAACTCAGTCGAGGTATTACCTGATGAACACCTACACCAAGTAGAGTTCAAAAATAAAAAACGAAGTTTAAAAGAATCAGCTTCATTAACAAAAATTAAACAATCAAAAACTAAACAGATAAATCAAATTCAAACGAAACAAATAAAACAAAGAAAATGAAAAGAGCAGTTCATTACCATTCTACATTAACAAAATAAAGGAAAACAACTTGTGAAATTTTTTTCAAAAAATAAGAGCAACTGATGTCAAGCCATATCTACTGTAGAATGTATTATTGGGTTATAAAAACGTCTATTTTAAGTTTCATCAAAAGCAGATAAAATCAATCTACACAACAATGTGGACATATATAACAATGAATGAGTAATATTTGCCTTGAAAACAAATTAATTGGCAATTTTGCTGATGTTTTTCAATCCAAATCAGAATATAAATTGGAATAAATTACCGTTCCTCCAACAATTCTACCCAATGGATACCATGCTCTATCATCAAACCAATTAAGAAAGTTATAGAAGCCATGGGTCACCATATAATGTGTTGCCCGATAGTTAAACCATGGGTCGAATATATTGAAAATTTCATTCAAATTACTTTATTTTGAGCAAAGTTGTTAATTAGTTGTAGTTTTGACAAGATGTATGCATTGATCGTAACAACCGTACTGGTTATTTGAGTCTTAAGCAGTGGACACATTAGTCGAATGGTTCGGCCGAATCGTTCGACGGAATCAATCGGCGCCGAATTTTATTTGGCCGAATGGGTGGACACACTAGCCGAATGCTTCGCCGATTCAACCTGTCGATTGCATCACCTATCACGTCACATGATTAAACATGGCGGCGTCTATGTCTTCAATCTATCACGTGACTTCTCGATATGAGTGGTGATTGGCTAATGAATTCTATATTCGACGAAGCGGACAAACCAGGCGAATATAATTCGGCCGAATATATCAAACCTGTTTGATTCGGGCGAATCATTCGGCCGAATGACAGTGGACACACTAGGCGAATTTCGACGCCGATTGCTTCGGCCAAACGATTAAAATAACCCATATTTTAACTTTTAAACACACACTCCCACCCGACCCCACTAACCGGCGTTAGCAACAAAAATGTGGCATCAAGCGATGATTCTAGGACCAAGTATTCAAAATTTTACTTCTTAAGACACGCGTATAAATTATCACGATTTAATAGTATTTAGCATCATCCAACTGTAATACGTTTTTCAAGCTATGTAAAATAAATGTGCCAGAATATAATTTACATTTCTGAAAAGGTAAATGAAACTTCTTTTCAGTAGTATTCTGTGCGATATCTGGAATGTCGTAGTATGACCCGTATTTTGACATTTAAGACCCCACCCAGCCCCTCCCAATCAATTAATAGAGTTTAATAGTGTACAACTTTCCAAATTATTATCTGGCACATTTATATTTACATACCTTGAAAAAAGATCAAAGTTCCACGGTACTAAACTTTATTAAGTGAGGGGCTGAAGGGATATTTAAAGTAAAAAAAAAAAGCGATCTTATAAGAAATTCTCGACATCTGTTCATATACAGCTAGAAGGTATGTTTATTGTTTGATACAAAATGTAAATTATTTTCTTGCACATTTGTAATTACATACCTAGAAAAAAGAGCAAAATTGAAATGGCACTAACATGTATTAAATGAGGAAGGGGGTGGGAGTATTTAACTCAAAATACGGACCATAACACAAAATACAAGATATCGGGATGCATACCATTAAAAAGGTCTGAATACATTTTCAAAATTGTAAAATATTTTCTGACATATTCATATTTACGTACCTTGTTAAAGCAGATATAATTTGGATTGTCTGAACTCTATTTAGTGAGGGGAGGGGGTATTTAAAAGTTAAAATATGCGTCTTATATGAAATTCCAGTTATCGTAAAATGCTTCACCGGAAAGTATTTGTCTATCACTCTTTGAATATACGAGTATTAGCTATTTTACTGGCACATTCATGATTACATGATTTAGAAGAGATAAAGCTCTCATTTGTTTGTCCAAAGAAATATGGTGCTATCAAATAATAACTTAATTACTAAATATAGACTACTTTCAATTTATTTTATTTAATGGTAGATCAGATTAACAATAACACACACGCGATTTCAGATTTCACTAAAGTCGCGGTCATCGACCAATATTTCTGATTGTATTTGCTCGATTCTTCTTTGTTGTATGGTGACTTATTGTTGATTTCCGCTTATGTCATCATAATGTTCCGGTGCGATGAATTTCAAGAAATGTTTTTGTAGAAATGTTTTTGGAGAAATATTTTGCAAGATTTGTATTTGAAGATTTGTATTTAGAAATTTATTGTTCGAGAGTATGTCTATGATGAAATGTAAATGTAGATTATTTTTTTGATTTACTTAAATAAATTTTGTCTTTATATTAAAATAAAATTAAATTAAACAAAAATACATTTTACAAATCTGATATGACAAATGTCTAATTTTAGTGTACAAATGTCGAAATACGACAAAAAATGAAGAAATAAGATTTAAGGACTATAAATTAAGAACTAAGAATTAAGAACACTGAATAATGAGCTGTTTGGTTTTCCATAATTTTGAAAATCTCACATGGATGGCTAGCAATGTCAACAATACTAAACATCTGTTTCCATTGAAAAAATATGTGCATACTGACTATGCATTAAAGCTTTAGTGGCTAGTATTTTAGCATTTTGATTGTTTGTGTCCATTAAACATACATTATTGCAAGAGCTAAATCTGCCTATTGCAGATCTTTCTTTAGGCCTGAAATGTTATCTAAATTATTAATTAGAAATTAATTAACTTATCCAGACCATAATCAACTCTCGATACCATCGCTAGCCAGCGATATTTAGCGGCTGGGAATACATTTTTTGAAAAATAATTAAATGGATAATCGCTGGCTTTTTTTTTATCGTACCGACTTCAGTACTGATGATCGAGGCTCGCCTAAAATTTTCAGGATATTCTATTTACGTTATCTATTTTTTATACGCCCACATTTTCATGTCCGTCGGTCCGTCCACAATTGTTTGTGAACAGTCTACAGGTCACAATTTTTATCCGATTTCAATGAAACTTGAAATATAGGTTTATCACCCTAAGATCTCGGTTCCTTTCGATATTGGCATGTATCGGACTGTAACTTCATGGATTATGGCCCCTGATTGTACGAAAAATCACGTTTTTAGCTTGTGAACACTGTAGAGGCCACAATTTTTATCCGATTTGGTTCAAACTTGAAATGTAAGTTTATAACCCAAAGATCTTGGTTCCTTTCGATATTCGCGCATATCGGACCGTAACTTCCTGAATTATGGCCCCTGATTGTACGAAAAATCGCGTTTTTAGCTTGTTTTCTATCCATCTCTCGAAAATGTGGGCGTATCCTGCCTGGCAGCCGCTGGTTAACTATTATAGTGAGAACTGTAAACTCTTTATCTAATCTCCCATAATGCCCCTTCAAGCACTTGTATAGTTTATTAATAAGAACTTATTATAAAGTCATCGACTGTAGTCAGTATTAGTACCAATATATTCTTTCAAAGTTATCCACTGCAGTTGGCATTAGTACTAAATTATTAATAACCTCTTGTCATCATCCACTGCAGGTAATATTAAGGGTAGTACCAATAAATTAATAACTTCATACAAAGCTATCCACTGCTGTTGATTTTGGGAGAAGTATTTAATAACTGCTTTACAAAGTCATCCACTGCAGTTTGTATTTTGTTACCATTTCTATATTAAGGTTGTTTGTTTTGCTTTTTAATTCAGTGCCTTTATCTTTAAAATTTAATCAAACATCTTCTAATAAGGATGTTTGTTCTGATGAGAAATATAAACATATTTCATGTTTTTAACTTTATACTATTTATCACACCACACATATATAATATTATAGGGTACTTGTCTTTTTTGCTTGGCACCAAACCTTTAAATATGTAATTATTGTGATTATTAATGTGAATGTGAAATGAAAAAAAATGTGTAATTGTGTGTAAGATTTAGAATTATAATTATTAATATTAGATTTTGTGTCAATCTTCAGTATAGAAATGATATTATGTTTATCCTGTATTGAATAATTCAAAACTGTAGATTTCATCTTTGTAACCTGTTTAACCCATTGGATTTATTAAATTAAAGGATATATCAATGTATTTCCTAATCATTAGCTGATGTGCTCAACCTCATACCAGCTATAACTGATACCACACAAATTTAGCATAGAAATTGTCCAAAAATGTTAGTGGAAGGAGTACAGCTTTACACATTTACATGTACATGTAGTTATTTTTGTTTTATTATATGTTCACACTAAAGTATGTTTTCCTCACCAAATAATGAATTAATAGATATATAGAAGCATTGAACTTGTTATTTCATAAACTGTTGACTTGAGTTTTAATATTTTTTATATTTATGTTAATCATAGTATACATGTTGAAATAATAGAATGAAATGTACATTTATCAACTTGTATGGAAATGGGACAAACAGGCAGAACTCAATACTTTAGTCATTTTGAGACAAAATTATGGTAATTTCTGTCTTATTGTTCTTTTAAGTACATATATGTATATATAAGAGTGTACTGTGACTATAAATTTTGCTCATATCACATATATAGGTAATAAAATAGATGACAAATATACCTTATTTGAGTTATATTTAGTAAATTCATGTGGCTTCTGGCACCATATACCTTGAAATTTTAGATGGAGAGTCATACTAGATAAGCCACAACTTAGATGATTTGCACCCCATTCCCATGTGTCAATCTCTATACAAAGAGGATTACTGTTCTTAAAATATAGGCCTACTGTTGTATGTTACAATACTGTATCCCGGTCTATTTAATAGGACTTAATAAAAATAATGTATTCTGATGTGAATCTCTTTAGAATGTATATGAAGAGTCCAGGGGAAGAACCATCTAATTCACATTTTTGTCTTTTCGCATAAAAGGCAAAACAGACTTTTGGACGCGAATGCTTCATGCGAACAGAACAACGAGTGGGTTTAATTACAACTTCAAATGATGTTTAATACGAATCATAATTACCAGTACAACAACTGACTTCCACTTTTCAGCCAAATTAAGGTCAAATAAAGGTTACGATGGACGTATTTGTCAGGGAGACCATTTCAGAAGGGCCTTGGTTCGATGTGACTCCGATCGTTTTCACCTGAAAATGATTGTTCCACAGAAAGCTTATACAATTTGCTACTAGATGGCGCCATTAACTGGGGTTCGTTGAAAAAGTGACTTAAATCGTTCTTCCCCCGGGGCTCTTCATATGCAATTTTGGTATATTAATATTAATGGTATATTAAACCGATCTGTATGAAATTTATATGCATCATTTAAATTAGTAAAACAAAGAAGCCTATTGAATTTCATCAATTTCCGTTAATTACATCTAGAGTTATAGTCCTAATTGTTTCACTTTGTTGAATCTTGTGAATGCTTGTCGCTCTAGATCTAATGACAACAGTTATCATCCGATCTGTTTGAAATTGATATGTGTCATTTAAATTAGTGAAATGAAGAATTCTATTGAATTTCAGCAATTTCCGTTAATTACGCCATGAGTTATGGCCCTTGTTTCACTTTGTTGTACCTTGTGAATGCTCTAACGACAAAAGTTATTATCCATCTGTATGAAATTTATATGCATCATTTAAATTAGTGAAACAAAGAAGCCTATTGAATTTCAGCAATTTCCGTTAAATACATCTAGAGTTATGGCCCTTGTTCCACTTTGTTGAATCTTGTGAACGCTCTAATGACAACAGTTATCATCCGATCTGTTTGAAATTGATATGCATCATTTAAATTAGTGAAATGAAAAAGCCTATTGAATTTCAGCAATTTTTGTTAATTACGCCGTGAGTTATGGCCCTTGTTTCACTTTGTTGTACCTTGCGAATGCTCTAACGATAAAAGTTATTATCCGATCTGTATGAAATTTATATGCATTAGTAAAATAAAGAAGCCTATCGAATTTCAGCAATTTCTGTTTATTTACATCTAGGTTTATGGCCCTTGTTTCACTTTGTTGAATCTTGTGAATGCTCCAATGACAACAGTTATCATCTGATCTGTTTGAAATTGATATCCATCATTTAAATTAGGGAAACCAAGAAGCTTATTGAATTTCAGAAATTTTCGTTAATTACGCCGTGAGTTATGGCCCTTGTTTCACTTTGTTGTACCATGTAAATGCTCTAACAACAAAAGTTATTATCCCATCCGTATGAAATTTATATGTATGGTTTAAATTAGTAAAACGAACAAGCCTATTGAGTTTCAGCAAATTTCCATTAATTACATCTAGAGTTATGGCCCTTGTTTAACTTTGTTAAATCTTGTGAATGCTTGAACGACGAAAATTATAATGTCATCTGTATGAAATTGTCTATTAAATTCCCCTAATTACCTACAAAAGAATAAATATGTGACAACCCTTGTCGACTACTCGGACGATTTAGCTGCTGTGGGCGTATGTTTTGTTGCCTGGCAACCTATCTTGATACCCCAGTTTCTATGCCAGGGATGTGCAATTAGGCTTTTCTTATGAACCGATCTGAATTACCATAATGTGATGTAGGCTTACTGTATAAACTATAATAAGTAAGCTCTTCAGATCCACCACATGCAGGGGTTTATAACAGACCTCCTGTAACAATACTCATCTATGTCATGGTTTAAAAAGGAAAATTGCTTAGGCTTAGTGGATAAAACTAATATTGAAGTCAGAATGGTGCAGTGACGTAGGAACCAGTCTGACGTCATTTAGAGCAGGTTATCCTGTGTATTTGTAATTTTAAACTTTATTTTGTAATTTTAATATTTAACTTATATCTTATAATTTCAAACATTCAAGCAGATGTACTCTATGATGATAATTAATTACAGAATAAAATATTATTTAAGGTTCTCAGAAAATAAAATTGCGCATCAATTTGAATAATGAGAAAGAAATCTAGGGAAGGTGCAGAAGGCATACACATCATTTTCTGAAATGAGTGAAAGACGCAAAAATGTTTGACTAAATTCATATCCCACCGCACCAAAGAAGGAATAGTTTTCCCTTTGGTTATGGAATGAAAAATGTGATTCAACAGCACTTGTGGTAATTATATAAGCAATAAGCAAGCTGCTTCATATTAATTATTGTGGAGAATCTACCAGAAAGAAAAATCATATCCAATTTCTAATTCCTCCTGAAAAACCATTGCGAGTATTAGTAAGCCAGGGGCCTATAATAAAACAGGGAACAGTATGCTATTCTAAATCATACCTATTTATCTTTTACTAGTTCGATCAAACAGACATTTTTTTTTCAAGAAATTCAAAGATTCAATTTATTTAGCTGGTGTATTAAAGGGGCATTATGGAAGATTAGATAAAGAGCTGACATTTCTCACTGTAATAGTTGCAAACTAGATAATGTAAAGGGAATATGCTCCACTCTGAACCCAGATATTACTGATTGAATTTTAGGCCAAGCTTTGATCATCATTACTAAAGTTGGTACAATAAAAAACATAGTCTTGATTATCCAGTTTTGGATTTAATCATCAATGAGCCTTGAGCAGCAGATCGGATTCAAATCCAGTGAATATCCGACACATAAGATGGCATCGAGAGTTGATTAAAGTCTTTTCATGTTAATAAATGTCTAATTTAAAGGAGCTAAATCGCTAACATTTGGGACCTAGAAATTGCCAAAAGTGGGTCGCAACGTATATAATACTGTAATATGAATGTATATAAACTGATTTACATTCAATGGTTTCCGTTTTTACTCCAATTTCAAATCAGTTATGTTCGGCGAAATAAGCCAGCAGTCTCAATCGAGTGCAAAGTTCTAGCGTCTGGTTATTCCAGTCTACATATGCCGTTCGATTTGGTGCAATGTGTCTAGCCTCGTCCCACGAGTCTCTTTTTACACATGGGGCTGAAGCGCATTATGGTACACGATTCGTGTACCACTGGTAAAATGTTTATTTCGTCTTAAATATTGGATATCAGAAGCCCATCTTATTCCGGTAAGATCACAACATCAATGTTGATTTAATTTGACAAATAAATCGTGTTTTCAATGTTGAAGATTTTGGATGATATTGAGTTAGAGACTTAGCTACTTTAATAGTTTATATAACATTGCAGGTCTAAAGAAAGGCCTGCAATTTAGCTCTTGCATAATGTAGGCTATGTTTATTTTGTCTTAAATATTGGATATCAGAAGCCCATCTTATTCCGGTAAGATCACAACATCAATGTTGATTTAATTTGACAAATAAATCATGTTTTCAATGTTGAAGATTTTGGATGATATTGAGTTAGAGACTTAGCTACTTTAATAGTTTATATAACATTGCAGGTCTAAAGAAAGGCCTGCAATTTAGCTCTTGCATAATGTAGGCTATGTTTAAACCTATCTATTGCAAGTACATGTATAATACTTGTACAATCTTAATGATAAAATCTTGCCTTCCTAATATTAGAAAAGGTGTAAAAATACATTCAGATCCTGGAGAAAACAAATCTTTCACTGGCCATTAGTTTAATCTATCATGGCAAAACAATAAATCAGATGACACCCCCGCCCCCATCCAACAAATCAACACCTACACTAAAAACATCTGTATTGCATATCTTGATCCCTGCATTGACCGAGAAAGTTCATCAGGATTTTCCAAGGTGGTTTCCCCTTGTCATTGTTGCAGGATGGAGGGCCTGACAAGGAGAGCTGTCTAGTCGTTAGGATGGGACAAAAAACCAAGATCCCTTGTGCGTGCACGTAAAAGATCCCTTTGCAGTTGGAATTCGATATGAGTAGGCCATAGTGTCGCTGCTCGGGCAAAATTTCCCTCATAGCACACTGTATGGTGTATTCCCGTCTTTATTAGCCCAGTCAAAGCAGAACAGTAGGACGTTAAACCCCATTTCATTTGTATTACATATCTAAAAGTTATTACAATTTAACTCCATATGTAACCAGCGGCTGCCTGGCAGGATACGCCCACATTTCGCAAGAGATGGATAGAGAACAAGCTAAAAACAAACGGGATTTTTTGTAGCAATCAGGGGCAATAATCCAAAAGTTATGGTCTGAAATGCGCAAATATCAAAAGGGACTGAGAACTTTGGGATATAAAGATATGATTTAAGTTTCATCAGAATCGGATAAAAATTGTGACCTCTAGAGGGTACACAACCTTCGTATTGCATACTTTTATACAATTTGCGTACAAAGAGCGGACATTTTGTCGGGCAGTTTCATTTCGATTTTCCCGAAATACGAAGTCAACCTTCATTATGGTGGAATGGTGATGTATTTCAGACGGTTTTTAAAATCGGACAAAAATTGTGACCTCTAGGGAATCCGCAAGCTAAAAATGCGATTTTTTTTAACAATCAAGGGCCATAATCCAGGAAGTTAAGTTGGGTATCCGCGATTATCAAAAGGAACCAAGATCTTAGTGTGTAGTAATGGTGATATATTCACATGTTTTTTTTTTAAATCGGATAAAAATTGTGACCTCTACGGGGACTACAAGCTAAAAACGTGATTTTTTGTTCAATCAAGGGCCATAATTCAGGAAGTTACGCTCCGATATGGGCGAATATCGAAAGGAACC